TTTTTACGTAAGCGGATGCACCGTGTGTAATTATTGGCTCTATCATAGGCAGCCTCGCTTCGCCGTCTAGGCGAGTGCACACGCCCATTTCTCGCGTATCCATTAGCAACCACCTTGCCTTCGCTCCTCGCGGCTCCGGGAATTTGAAAAATTCCTCGTAACTGGGTCAACTTCGATTTCGGTGGGGGCGAGTTACGAGCCGAGCTTATGAGCGCACGCGCGCGTTACATCCCGTACGTGCGCGCGTGTGTGTGTGTGGATGCGCGCAATTTTGTGTTTACCGCAACGGCTGAGGTGCGATATAGGGTGCACGACCGCGGAGCGATGCAAATTTAATTAAAAGGAGAGGCGACACACCGCGGGATGAGAGCTCTTCTCCCTTCTGCGTTACGTACTTCACACGTCGAGTAACGCGTGACGTGAGGAAATTTGCGAAACGCCTGTAAAACCTGCGATTATCGGTTTTATGGGAGCCGGGAGAGTTTGTTAATTGGAGCGATAGCCCGACAGGGCTTTTACCGCGCGTCGTCAGCGAAAGGTGATAGCGCTCGATTTTCCGCCGTATCTGTTGAAATGATGCCTTCGTGCATTCTTAATAATGAAAAATTGCGTTTGTAGATTTATTCAGATACAGAGCGTGAAGCATGAGGCTAGCCGTGTGTATTCTCTCTACCCTGATCCTTCAGGTGGCTTCAAGTAAGTATGTAGTGTAAGTATGAGTGCTTCACACTCGTCCTTTATGATTACTTATACGGAAAAAAGGAATTAGCTCTCACACAGAAAAAAAAATTAATCTTAAACCAAGAGAATACATTTTCTTACATATAAGCAAGAATATTATAATCTTCGTAGAAGGATTTTAATCTTGATTTGAGTATTACTTCAACCCAATTCAAAGTTAAAATTTTGTTAAGAATATTAGTGTTCTTGCTTATTCATGGGAATATTTACTCTTGATTTGAGATTATTTCTTTTCGGTGCACAGGTAAAAAGTAGCTGTCTTTGTGATACAACTTAAATTTAGTTAATTTATCTTTTTTTGTCGTTGTATCTGATTTTTAATCTGATTTTTAATTTTATTTGAAGCTCCCGGCTAAAAATTAAGTCTGGTAACTAAATTTCGGCTATATTATACATAGAGAACAATAGTTTTAAATCAATAATAGATATTCTCGTATAAGCAAGAATATTATAATATTCTTAGAAGATTTTTAGCCCTGAATTGAGTGCAAGTAATATTTGCATCAATACAAATTCAATCAAAGCAAGACTAAAAATCTCCTACGAAGATTATAATATTCTCGCTTATATGTGAAAATATCTATCATTGATTTAAGACTAATTTTTTTCGGACAGCTAATCTCCTTTTTCCGTGTACCTGTCGTTAATATGCGAAAAAATCTTACTACCGCACTATGATCTAAATCCAACTATTAAACTTGTACCTTTTGATTTTTTAATTATAGTATGTGTCCCGGATATGATAGAAGGTGAAAGAGACATTACTGAAGTTGTTATATTAGTAACTCTGCTTTGCGTCACAAGTCAAATTCTCATTTACACGGGACTCTTTTATATAAGACAAGTTTTGTCACATAGAGAGATACCGTGTTTCTGTACAATCACACTTTCCATGTACATACATATATGTATCTGAATATATATGTATACTTTTGTATTTATCTGTACGTTTACACATGCATATTTGTGTGTAGATAACACTCGATCTCGTCAAAGTAAACACAAAGTTTTACAAAATTATTCCCATGCGACTTTTTCATTGCTTTATTGTGCGATTTGGAAAACTCTACAATTTGTAGGATTGTATTAGATCCTTAACACCTCCTTACTTTCTATAATTGATTATTTATGTGTGTTTATACGTATATCATGAAAAACATTGATTTTTTCCAACATTTTAATTTTCAATTAATATTAATACATATTACATGTAATTTTATTTCCTTTATGCTATTTCAACATGACGTACATTCTAAATAATTCATAAATTAATTAATTTCTCAAGGTTGATTAATTTATGTATCGAAGATTCGCTAATCCTTAGTACAGTCAAGATTCTAGGTTAAAAGATCATTTCAATTATTCATCATGAAACAGATTCATCGTATCAAGAGTGTTTTGTAAATATATCTCCCGCCATATATTTTCTCTGCCTTTATGTTACATTTGTACGTCTCTTTTACTAGCTCAAGTTCGACTCGATGCTTGCTGTGGATCTAATAATTTCCTTGTTTATTAGTTAATTCGCCGCCACGGATATTTAAGCAGCCGCCATCAGATGAGATATTGTTTCAAGTGAGTCAAAAGAAGATCAATGAGAACGATAAGCCGTTTGTGATCGAATGCGAAGCGGAAGGTGAACCACGAATAGAGTACGTATCCTCTTCCTTTTTCTTTATCTTCCCCATAATAAACAAAACGCAAGTTGTATCTTACTTCGAGTACGATTCACATACGATTCATAACACATGTCATTCTGTCTTTGCTTTCGTATTCAGTGAGTAATAAGGTTAAGACGATAGTGTCGACTCGTGTCACTGAATGAAAAATATTCTTTACGTTCACGCCATCTTGCACGGTGTTACATCTTTCCGATACTCTTGGCTTAGTCATCGGTTGACGGTATATGGAAATAGCTATTACGTGAACGCGTGCTGATGCGAAGTTGTCGCGAGTTGTTGAAGAGCGGGAAATGTACTTTCGTGACATTGCATTCATAAAGCTTTCTTGCCCTTACGTCCGGCATATATGCAGTCTCTCTTTCTCGTGCTTACTCTAGAGAGACGTCGGTGCAGCTGTTCTTAATTAGAAAGATGACGTCATAGTCTTAGGATGTATGAAATAATCATCGCTGATGCTGATTTACGCGAATACTTGGCATTGTGGGCGAGGGAGCAGTTTCTCATAAACCGGATAAAATTCGGGAGGGAATAAAATCGTGTGAACGAACAAAGAGAATTCAGATGTCGGGTTTGTCGTTGTCGTTTTCTGACTTGAACCGCTCCGACTTCGTGTCAACTCTTGACATTCTTTTTTATGAATGAATAACATTCGATCGTATTTCTTATATTTCTTCTATGTGAAATTCTACACGAGAAACATCCAAGTCACTTGGATTCGAGTGACTTCACTCGTACACAGCGAGTTCCCCATTCCGAATCGTTGAATGAATATTTTTTTGAAATTTAAGGGTACATTTCCGGTGTACTTCATTGTCACTGGAACAAAAAGTGAACAATTTACTCTGATTAGTTGAAACATTCACTCATACAAATCAATTCACTTTGAGTTCGAGTGAGACATTCACTCTTGCGATTCCAAGTGACAAATAATTCTGCATTATCATAGAATCCTCTCGCACGTTTCGAGTGGTATTCTATTTCGGGAAATTTCTTGAGAGTTCATTGAATCGTATATTATTACCGCTAAGAATACAGCACTGAAAATACACCGCTGAAAATACACCTGTCTTCCGATTTCTTATATAAATGAACTGTCTTATGCAACAGTTATTACTGGATGAAAAATGGCAAAAATTTCACATGGTCGACGTACGACGAACGCATAAGCAAGCCGGCTGCTAGAGGTACTCTTACAATATTGAGGCCAGCGGAGGAAGACGTGGGGCAATACCAATGTTTCGCCGAAAACGCTTTGGGCATAGCCACGTCGAACTCGGTATTTGTGCGAAAGGCCGAGTTGAATTCATTCAAAGACGAGAATCCGGTGATCATGTCAGCGAAGGAGGGTAGTCCGTTCAAGCTCACCTGCCATCCGCCCGATGGCTGGCCTAAGCCGAACGTTTATTGGCTGATTCAGGATATCGCCGGTGGTATCAAGTCGATCAACAACTCGCGCATGACCATAGACCCGGAGGGGAATTTGTTCTTCAGCAATGTGACCAAGGCCGACGTCTCGGACGACTTTTACTACGCCTGTGCCGCCACGTCTGTGTTCAGGAACGAATACAAGATAGGCAATAAAGTCATACTGACGGTGAATTCGGAAAGCTCGACTGGCGGCATGATCAAGCATAAGCCCGAGGAGCAGTATCTTACGAGGAGGAGCGAGGTGGCCTTGCGCGGCAAAAAGATCGAGCTGTTCTGCATATACGGTGGTACACCGTTGCCGCAGATCATCTGGAGCAAAAACGGCGAGTCGATTAAAACGGGCGATCGGATCAGTCAAGGGAATTACGGCAAGTCTCTCATCATCAAGCACGTCAACTTCGATGACCAGGGCACGTACACTTGCGAGGCGTCGAACGGAGTTGGTTCGGCCAAGACGCACTCCATCAATCTGCAGGTGATGTCGGTGCCGTATTTTACCGTCGAGCCAGAGATCGTGAACGCTGCGGAGGACGAGACCGCGGAAATTAAGTGCGAGGCCAGCGGAGTACCCGCGCCGGAGATTAAGTGGGTCTACAACGGCCGACCGTTGTCCGCGGCGCCGCCGAACAGCAGGAGAAAGCTCACCTCGAATTCCATCATCATCGAGAGGCTAGTGAAGTCTGACACGGCCAATTACGGCTGTAACGCCACCAATTCGCTGGGATATGTTTACAAGGACGTATACATAAACGTTTTGGCGCTCGAGCCAGAGATCACGCAACCGCCCACGGACATGGACACGGTAGACGGAAAGACCATACTGATCACGTGCCGTGTCTTCGGGGCGCCCAAACCGGAAGTCAAGTGGATCAAGAACGGACAGGAACTGACCGGCGGTCGTTACAAGATCCTGGAGACCGGGGACCTGCAGATTGAGGCTGTGTCCTTCTTAGACGCGGGCACTTATACCTGCCACGCCTCCAACAAATTGGGCCAGGTAGACGCGTCCGCCACCTTAATGGTTAAAGAGCACACGAGAATCACCGACAAGCCGGAGGATTACGAGGTAGCCGCGGGATCCAGTGCCACGTTCAGGTAAGATGTTCTGAGAGAAAGTAAAGAAATCTTTCGTACAGTTAGCGTAATGTATGACTTATTATTATCTAAAGAGAATTATGCGATTTTCAGCCTTACATACATACGCATAAGGTCGAAAATCGTAAAGGTAACTCTAATTGTAGTAGTTTCGGCCTTCTATGTACATGTGAAAGGCTAAAAATCACGTAATAGAAAAGGTTTTAATCCAAGGAATGGTACGGTGGAGAACAAGACGATTTAGACACACTGAAGTTGGTAGTGCAGTCAATGGCCCAATGAAAGAACTTATCTTTGACTGATTTGTTCTCTCATTAGACCATCAGCTGCGCTCTGAACTTCACTGTGTCTAAATCCTTCTGCTCCCCACTGAACGGTCGGCCTCATGTAGGCTGTTCCATTTCCTAGATGATAAATTACATAATTTTCAACCTTATACATAACCCATAAGATTAAAAATCGCATAAGTAACTGTAATTATGATGATAGAGTCATATTGGCTTTGATTTTGATGGTTTTGACCTTATGTGTATGCGCGTAAGACTGGAAATCATATAATTTTCGATCTAGGAAATGATACAGCACATTTGACTGTACAGAAAATTCCATTGATGCAGCTCCATTTCCTTGACGTAATAACATTGGAAATTTCCAGCCAAACGCATCATATTCGAATATTCATGCATCATGACTGTTGATTATTCGGTGAATTAGTAACGATACCTCAAAGTGCAAAGTAGCAATGATATGTGAATGTTCTGAAATAATACGCCTGATTAGAAATTTTCGATTTTACTCTAACCTAAAGAATGGAACTGCATTAACACAGTTTTTTATATACTGATCGGTAGAATAGCCTTAATAGTCGGCTAATAATTAGGTTATTAATCGTATTTAATTGTACAGCATTTTTTTCCGAATATCAACGTGAAGCCATCATACTGACGGATTGCTTCTTTGACATATCGTTTCCGCTTCTTTGAATAATCAATAAACAAGAAATCAATAATACGTGCGGTCAGAAAATCTTAGTAACCTAATTACACCACGCACTAAGGTTGTTTCACCGGTACATCTTAAACCTGTATCAGACTAAGTAGATCGCAGATTGGAGATAGAAATTAAGTAATAATAAACTTAACTAATTGCTGATATCAAAATTAATCAGCTTAAGTTCATCTTCAGATGCTTCGTAGCCAATGAAATGAGTCATATAGTATCTGAAGATAAATTTGAGACTATTTTAAATATAAAATCTGACTGTTATGAATATACCGGTCTTAGTCTTCGGTACGGATTTTACGGAGACAAAAGAGAGAGAGAGAGAGAGAGAGAGAGAGAGAGAGAGATTTCCGATTCACTGAGAAGTCTTAATTAACGTTCTCTTGTGTTTGTTGTGCAGGTGCAACGCCGTCACGGACTCCTCCCTAACTCTGACCATAGATTGGTACAGTAACGGCCAGCCGATAGAGTTTGAGATAGAGCCGAGGTTCGTACGCAGCACCGATTACTCCTTGATGATCACGAAGACGATAGAGCTGGACTCCGGTATCTACACATGCGTCGCACGTACCGAACTGGACGAGGCGAGAGCTCAAGCGACTCTTATCGTTCAGGATGTACCTTTCGCACCAAGGTTGGAAGGAATCATGTGTAACACGAGCGAGGCGAAGGTTACATGGATCCCTATGGGAGATAACAGAGCTCCTATCTTGCGTTACACTATCCAGTACAACACCAGCTTCACGCCAGACGTTTGGGAAATAGCCAAAGACAATGTTCCGGCCAGTCTCCTGACCGAGATCATACCTATGTCACCTTGGTCTAATTACACGTTCCGTGTCATTGCGTGGAATAAAATAGGTAAGACTCGACGTCTTTAAAAATCGAAATCATTCTATTAGGAGTTTCACTTGAGGGTATGTCATATGTGAAATGGGCGATACGAACAATTCCCAGCTCGATTAATGTGACCGGATGAAATGAATTCTGACGATTAAGGGTAATTTTCATCGAATCCTGACTAAATTAATCGACGATTAGCCGGTGGAATTACTGAACAGTAATTTCAAGTTATACAATTTGGCATCCATCAATGGTGAAGAAATTGTAAATAATTCTGCGTAAATATTAGCAAAATAAAGCTGATGATAGGACCTGGCCCTGACAATAATTTTAAATATAGATTACAAAAAAAGAACGAGCAAATGCTCTTATTCATTTCGACAATAAACTATATCTCTCACTTTCCCCGTCGACAACTCTGCCGTATGAGTTGAATCGTCGAACAGTTTAATCGGAACTTGACGTAAGCACTTAAATTATGAAACAAGTTATTATCAACCAATGAGCCATTGTTGTTTTTCTTCTCGATAGGCCCATCTCTACCGTCGCCGCACAGCGACACTATTTGCACCACCATACCGACCAGGCCCACCAAGAATCCCGACAACGTTGCGGGCAAGGGTACAACACCTCAAAATTTGGTGATCACTTGGACGACTATGCCGCAGATAGATCACAATGGCGACAAATTCATGTATAAAGTGTATTACAAAAGGGATATACCGGGCTTGGATTGGATTCCACGAGAGGTAAACGATTGGAGGAGGAACAGCCTGGAGATAGACAATCAGCCTACTTATCAGAGATATAAGATCAAAGTCATCTCTGCCAACGTAATAGGAGAATCCAAAGCTATGGTCGATGAAGTCGTCGGATATTCCGGGGAAGACGGTAAAACGTTCATTAAGTTACCTTGATGTTCATCGTTATTGACTGATATTAGGCGTGCGCAAAAGTTTTAGTTCGTACACATTATGGAAATCAAGCGAGAACTTGCGAAGGAAAGACTAAAATTTTCGCACACGCCTAATAGTATTGAGACTCCTGGCCTCTCACCGCAGTTATTTTGTTTGATGACGTTAGAAACTAGAAAATGTACGTCCAAAATTCTTGCGAAATAAAAGTTGCGTTAAAAGGATGTCCATGAAGTGACATTTGTGATTAATTGAGCACATTTGTAAGATATTTCGCAAACTTTCGCTTTAATAATCGATAAGTAACCGTCAAATTAATGCAATGACGTGCAACCCTCTTTCTTAGCTTATCTTTTCTCATGATATTGTCATGTTAATTTACGACTATTGATTGATAAAGTAAAGGGAAAGTTTTCGAAATATTTTGCAAATTTGGTCGATCGATCAGAAGTACTATTTTATAAACATATCTTTTTATTTTTTATGTATTTCGCGAGAATTTTGGGCGTATGTTTTCTCGCTTCTGACATTATTAGTCAAGATGGTTGCAACGAAGAAACAGGAGTTTTATATAATATTACGCTCCAATATTATTGGCTTTGTCTACAAAATGCCAAATCTGATTTCAGTGCCTTTACAAGCGCCTGGCAATTTCACGCTGTTACATTTGAAATCGAGCACAACTGCCCAGCTGTCGTGGACTCCGGTGCCGGAGGAATCGGTGAGAGGTGAGCTGCAAGGATACAAGATTCAAACGTGGACGGAAAAGCAGGGCGAGAAAGGGATGCACGAGATTGACATTCACGGTGGAAACACGACTCAAGCGGAGGTCAGCAAATTTATCCCGTACAGCAAGAATTTCGTGAGGATACTCGCTTACAACGGCAGGTAATGGAATTTCCGATATCTCTATACAGTCGGTGTCATGTATGCTGTAAAATTATAATGGTAAGGTATACACACAGTAAAAAATTTTGTGTTAAAAACAGTTCACTGAAATTTTCTGTTACTTTAACACAGGGAATGTTTTAGCATGCAAATATGATGTTAAATTAATACGTTAACTTCGTCAATGTATCTTGACAAGGTGAATGTGATGTTAATTTAATATTATATTTATGTACTTCTTAACATATTCTCCATGTTAAAGTAACACAAAATTTCAATGTATCGATTTTAACACATTTTTTACTGTGCACGGTGTATATTGCTGTACGAATCAACATCGTGATAAAGTTGACGTGCTTATAACAATCGACGTTCACTCGATTCGCAGATACGTCGGACCCGTGTCTGAAATTTTAAGTTTCGAAACACCGGAAGGGGTGCCAGGAACGGTGCTCAGTTTAGAAGCGTTTCCGATGGGATCGAGCGCTTTGTTCCTCGTCTGGACGCCACCCGCCGAACCGAACGGTATTTTGACCGGGTATAGGATTTATTATCAGGTCGTGAGTGGCACGAGATTAGAAACTTTACTCGAAAGGAAGCCGCATATTACAGATGCGGACGCTACGAGTGCCAAATTAGCTGCGTTAGCGTCCGATACGAAATATCGCGTTCATATACGTGCGACGACCAAAGAGGGACCAGGCAACAAGTGAGTGTTACATTAATCATAAATATGAAATCAATAGATATATTAAAGCTTCTATCAATACGGATTAAATTGATTGAGATTAAATTGAAATTTAGTTAATCAGAGCAAAGTTCACTAAATTCAATTTTGCTCGGATTAACCAAATTTCAATCAGTCTTTATTCGTAATCTGATACGGGCTTAAGATAAAAGCACTAATGCTGGAAATGTACCTGATTCTGAGCACTGTTATTGTTTTTGTCTTTAAATATAAATTTTTTAAATTTTCAACATAGAAATATATATATATATATATTTATTTATTTATTTATTTATTTATCAAATATAGAAATACATATATGTTATACTGGAAGTTTCAATACATTTTTTTTCGTATTTAAACACCAAAAATTACATATATTTTATATCATCAAAATGTGTGAAAAGTATTATTTCATGTTATTTTTCTCCATCCTTCGTAATATTAATTGTTCCGGCGATCACATGGATTTCAGCGAGAGTTAATATCGGTTACTCACAAGATTGTTTGATATATTTACAGTTATTTCATCGAACAAAAGACACGCATGTCTCAGCGACCCGATGTACCGCAGTTCACGTGGATAACTGTCCCGTCTGAGACCGGTTATTCAAACATAAAGATCGTTTGGGAACCGAATCTTAACGGCAATCCAGGAAGTCATTTCTTCGTCAAGTATAAGCTCAAAGGTGAAACGATATTTTTGATGACGGATCCCGAGTTCCAAACCAATACCATTGAGGTATGCACACAGTAGTAGAAATATCAACAATAATAACAATAATAATAGTAATAATAGTAAAAACAACATTGTATCATAGAAAAATTTTGACATAACTTACTATTTTCCTACTTTTTCAAAAATGAAACTCTTTTCTCACTATTTTTAATGGCTAAACTGCTTCTATGTCTGATTTATACCTCTTGTCCTAATCTGTAAAATAAAATTGCGCATAACTAACAAAGACGTGATCGCACAGATACGCGGTCTCCAGAGCGGTGAGCTCTACACAATGTCAGTCGTTGCTGTGGACGGCGAATATTTGACTGAAAGCCCTCCTCAGGACGTTGAGACGAGCAGCGAAGGACCCATTATTCAGCCGAAGGAAAATGTCGCTACAGCCGGATGGTTCATAGGTATACAAGATGGCCTATAAGTATAGTGTCTATAGTAGTTTATAGTATAATGTGATAAGCCAATAAAGTCTAAACTTTAGGTCACACTTTAAGTAGACCATGTATAATAATTGTATAACAATAAGCTCCTTGGTGACCTTTTTTTATACCGTATTTTACCGACAACGTACTTAATGAGACACCGACGTTTTCACAGGAATGATGCTGGCGATTGCCATTCTCCTGTTGGTGCTGATAGTCGTTTGTGTGATCAAACGAAATAGAGGCGGCAAGTACGCGGTGCACGAGCGAGAATTAGCCGCCGGACGCGGCGATTATCCTGATGAGGGTGGGTTCCACGAGTACTCGCAGCCATTGGACACGAAATCGGCCGGCGGACGTGCGTCCTTGGCGTCGTCTTCTCATCAGGACGGCAAACATCCCGAATCCGACACCGACTCGATGGCAGAGTATGGCGACGGTGACACAGGTTAGTGATAGGCGTGGAAATTTTATATGATTCGCATTATAAAGATAATATCGAGCTTATATTGGAAAAATGTCGGTGTTTTACACACATACACACACATACATATACGATATATCATGAGAGACATTTCCTGTACAGGCCAGTTTCAATCATCAGATACTGTGATAATTTGATACTTGCGTCTATATGCGATATTATATGGTCGATATTCATAGTCTGATTTTATATTTAAGATCATTTTAAGTTCAGAGATGCTCCGTGGCCAATAAAACAAGCCACACATCTGAAGATAAACTTACGATCTGAAATATAAGATCTGACAATGAATACTGCCTTGTGAGATAATTAAGGTAGTTGGTCTGTGATAATACTGTTAGAATGGTGATGGTTAATGCAACATTTGAACCGCGATAAATCTGTGCTATGTATTCATAAACATGATTTATGACATACAGCTTTGACACTATAGCAAGAGAATACCAATCAGCTGTTATATATTTCAATTGTTATTAAAAATTGCGTACTTTACATACATCAATTTCTGGAAAACTAGATAATCAAGGATTTTGTAATTTTTTATATTTCTACTCTCTTCTAAGTCTCTTTTATCGTTTTTCATTAAAATCGCAAAAGAATAATTTAATTACTAGAAACTTGATATCGGAAGCTGTTTTCGTACTTATGATACTTTAACTTTATTATCTCAGTTTCCATATGATCAAACTTTTTCTAATTTTACACGCGTTTTAATTAATATGTGTTGTTGAAGCCTGAAGAAATCCCTAAGAAAATAAATTTATAGACCAAGTACTTTGAGATAATTTCTAACTACATGCCTCTGTGAATCGATATTACTGCAGTACAGGCAAATGCACTAAATCTTTTCATACTTTTTTGGAAAGAGAAAAAGCATGAAACGGCGAGTCTCGTGTTTCACGCAAAAGTTATTGTCACATCTGTTGAAATTCTTCTCATACTGCGCGAGTGCTTTTCTTTTTTTCACATGATGCACTTTGCAGCTGCATTTGTATAAATAACCAAGCTAGTTACGTGTTGATTTAAGTAACGTTTATATTTCGACGTTTGCGTTCCATTTTACTTTCTCAATATGTTGTACATTCTGTGTTATTTATTTTATTTGCTTTGTCGCTTTTGACACAATACAGAAGGCATGAACGAAGACGGTTCATTCATTGGTCAGTATGGCCGACATCGTAAGCCGGAACCAAATTCGCAAGCGTTTACCACTCTAGTTTAAGGTAAGTTTGATGAACACGTTTTAACATATAAGTTGTCGCATTCACACGCACCGAAGCAGAGTCGAACGTCGACCTTTTCACGAAACTTAATGTTCCATATGTAACGAAGCTGTGTATATTAATATTTACCTCACTACTCACACATTATTTGTAATATTATTAATGTAAAAGAATATTGAGATTCACGGCCCAACTCCAAATTGACCGGAAGATCCCGTCTCTGAGATGAGGAAAATTCAACACGATCGTTTTGAATTCCAGGACGCTTCACGGAAGATGGTTCATTCATCGGACAATACGGACCTAAAGGTAGACCAGAGGAAACGCCACCCATTCCAACTGGTACTATGGCCACGTACGTGTAACCTCTGCAACTATCTTAATCAAGCCACCATAAAGGAAGAAAGATAGGAGGAGAAACGGAAAAAGGAAAGGAAAAACATTTTCTCTTTACGGCCGAGGGTTCCGATCCTCGGCCTATTGCAGCAGTTCTGCTAAGCACCTTGCGCTGGGCGCAATGTCCAACACTATACTGCCAATTAGACTTTGGTTTTGGGTTTTATAATTTCCATAGAAGTCACACGAACCTGGTCTTACGTGTACTCGCTTCAGGACGCGAGCTCTACTTCCTGATGACGGTGTTTAGATAACGATTTATCATTTGCATCGCTAAGGTGTCACAAACATTCCCAATCTTTCATTTAACTGGTCTCTCCGGACACGCAAGTGGAGGAGTGGGAAGGGGGAAGATTAGTTACATGGAAATCTAGCTTGCATTGCGATTATCGTTGCCGTCGGATCGGCAATCGGCGACGAGAGTGCTCATGCGTCATACAAGTATATCTCTATATTGATTATAAAACCCAAGAACTATAGGTGTTTCATAGCGTGCAAGCTATTTATGGAGGATAGTACCGTAGAGACTACTCTAGCATTGACCGTAATCTTTGAACAGAGCCAGGTTGAATTAGACAGTTCGATCTATCGGTGGTGATGAGGTATACGAGTTGCACATTCGGACTCGCGCGCAAATGTGAGGTACTTTTAAGACTGCGTGTAGTATCCGATGTTTCGCGACATGCCGACGATGCCGAGAGCAGTTCATGATATGCGAGCATCGTTTTATCGCTTGTCGTTAACCCTTTGCACTCCGGGCGCCAACCTGGCTGGCACTCGGAGCGATTTTGGCATTCTGATCCATTCCGACTCGGCGAAATGCCAAGCGGTTTAACAATCAAATTACGTTAATTCAGAGAGAATTACGGACTATTATAACTGACTGTTGATACAAATGTATTCTTCCGCTTGTAGTTCGACGGTGTTCATGAGCGTTTACTGTCAACATCGCGCAAAAAATTGCGAAAAAGAGCGCGAAGGGTTAATACTGGCGAGTGAATATGCGAATTTTATAACGAATATATGGGAATTACTTGATGAAATTCTAAGCAAAAGAACGCACGATATAAATAGTGATATATAGTGAATGACACGTTAGTTACATGCAATCTTAAAGAAAGAGAGGAAGGGAAGAGAGCAGTGGCACGAGCAATGAAATAAGATAGTGTCGCAATCTGGCTTCGACTGAATTTAACTTTAATCTTCTAACGGACGGTTATTCTAAGGTTTAGCCGCAAGTCGATTTTTACTCTGCCGTGAAAGGGCCAAATCTAAACGAATGAATAATTATCCTACGATTATCACGCACTTACACCTTCATTATTAACAGACATACATGTACACGTATGTGCGCGCGTGTATGCGCGAGTAGGGATACTCGAATGACGATGATATAAACACGGATGGAGTAATATTAAAAAGACGATTTTGTATATGCACCATGATAGATAACAAAGATCATAAGGCCTCTAAATAATTGTTGCTTTTTGTATGTAAAACATGCATTGATGAGAACCTTTCTTATTTTTATGAGGATTTTACTTTGCTTTTTTTTTCAGTAATTTTATTATAATCCAATAATTATAAGATATGACGCTCTATATATAATTATTTATGATATATGAAGAAAAAAATATAAATATATATATATATAAAGAAAGAGAAAGATGGAGAAAAGATGAGAGAGAGACATATATATATATTAATTATGAATTAATTATTCTTAAAAAAGAACGCGACGTTAACATCAGAGCAGTTATAGTTAATAATTATTACATCTCGACCTACGGGACGTTAAAGAAACATTAGAGATCTGTTAATTCTTTTCGAAGCTACGTGTACAATTTGTTTAGATCATTAAGTTTAGCGTTAGTCGACGCTGTGTACAGGTTGTCTGCAAAAGTGTCGCAAGCAAATATGTCAGGTACAAAGATAAAGAGAAACAAAGATAGGTACAAAGTGTATAATATTTATGATATGGATATGCGCGAAGAATCACGAGTATAGTACCTTTTAAATGATATATCTCACTTTACCAGACGAACAGGACCAGACTGAGCCTCTTTTTTCACAACGGATTTTTGTAAAGAATGTCCTAGACGTGGATGCAGAAAGTAATCTTGTAACGCAATCGAAATATATTTGTTAGGGTCTTTTTTGCCGAGCATCCTGTACAAGTGACTTGGACGTCACAAGATCATTAAGACGGCTCATGAGCAAATTTTCGCATATTATATGATTGCTAATTTAAGAAATTCATGAAAATATCGCTATTATGTGGCGACTGTATTTTTAAGTTGGGAAGAAGAACCAATAATCGCAAAGTCCTCGTCGATATTGCGCGCATACACATACACACACATACACGCACACATACACGTATACAAACACAATAAATATAATAATGATATTAATCAGGTTAAATAATTAAATCAACGCAACTAGATAATACCATATAATGCTAGCTTTATAATAATGTCATTCGAGTCTTAGTATAACCCAATTATATTGTTACATCGATTTAAGTTACGTTAAAAAGCATAATTACAGTGACCCGAGGGATATTCACATATTTGAAATATTTAATTATCATTATATATATTATATATATTCGAATGATCTTCAAATATATTCGAATATTTTCGAATATATTCGAATGATCTTATAATTAAATATTTCAAGTGACAAGCCGCTGTAGGCGCTTTAACGCAGCTTGAATCGCTTTAGTCGCGCTTTATGTGTGGTTGCGGTTTAATTGTTTAATCTGACGAGGAAACCTGCAGAATGCCACAATGCTCGTCATCCTCGTTTTACTATCGAAGATGTACATGATTTCTAATAGAATTGGTTGACAACATTGGTTTGGAGTTGTCGAGGAAACGTAGTCACGAGCGGGTGTTGTGAATGTGAATGTGCTAGATGACAGTCGCTCGATAACGACTTAAATTGAGCCTACTTAAAGTTCTTGAGCCACCCCACGCAGCCATCAACCCACCTTTTCAATTACGTGTAATATTTGCTACTACTCATTGCGACGATAAGTGAGTGTTTTTACACATTACCGTACGTCTACGTTACACGATGTTATTGCATACTGACGTTAAGAACCCGCGGTAATTAATTAGATGAATGGAGCGATGAACTCGCAGGCGATTGCGACGATACTAAAGATTGCGTATTTCGACGGATAACGCGGCACTCGACGATGATTCGTTTATTTCTTAAGAAATTCTCATTTATTCACATACTCGATTTAATTTACCGACTTATAGATCTGATGTACACGTAACATTTGTGTAAGTTGAACATAACAATGTGTGATGTAACGATGATATCGATTGGATGTGAAAGCGTGAAAATCGATAGAAACCTTATCGAGAGTGTACATTTTTTATCTTTTGTTCGATGAACAATGGCTTTTTTCGCCGATCTAATTATCATGGATGCAACCAGTTGCGTGACTTAGATCTGATCATTGGAAATGTTACGATTACACATTCTCGTGTAAAATAAGTAATATGTTTTAACGTTGCATTTTTATGTACTAATATTTGGATACACGATCATTGGCAATAACCATGACGAAGTTAGCAATAACTATGATGAAAGCAGACACGCGCGTCTCGTCGCTGAGAATTTTGATGTCCAAGTCACACACATGACACACACACACAAACACAAACATAAGCGCGTTTCATATTTAAGAATATTTTTGTTCTATTAGCGCTAGCCTCAGCATTTACCGGCTGTAGCGGAGCTCGTTCACTTTTTCACATTATATAAGCCATCAGTTGGACTACGTTGATATCTTAATGTTATATACATACATATATATATATATATATACATATATATAAAACTTCCAATAATTTTGCACGAACCGTCGTGCCCTCGCGTACGCTAATATATCCTTTTGTATTTCTTTTTCTTTTTATAGTTTTGTACTTTACGTATAGTGAAATTCTTTGCGTTTTTACAATCGTATCTGTATAACGAGATGTATCTTATTATAACGGCAGCCGTCGATCCTTCGACTGAGTTCTCCAAATATTCCTGTTCACCTCCCCGTGGGAGGGCGAGACGAATCATCTAACCGTCACTCTGCTTGATATTGTAATGTTGCGTTGGCGAAGAGGAAAGCGATTCGTGACTTAGTAAATGAAAAAAAGGAAAAAAATAAAAAAAAAATGGAAAACTTGTCCACTGTACAACCAAGCACATGTTATCCCCGGGAAGGGAGGAGCGCGACCTTGACTCTTTTTATAGCAAATCTTTAGAATCTCAATTGTTTCTTAATATACGAAATGTGTTCATTCGATTATAGTTTAATCAACTTGTCGATCATATAGCGTCTTATTCTATTGTTGAGTGAAGATAAATGAAGGAGGGGAGTAGGTGATAAGGCCCATTACGTAAGAAAAGAACGTAAGCAGTGAGCAAATTGGCCGACCACAGTCGATTATTCTCGGACTGTAAGGAGAATAGTCGGCCGCGGTTGGTCAATTTAATCACCACTTGTGTCTTACCGCTTACGTTTTTGCACGTTTCTTTTCTCGATCAGCCGGAAAAGATCCGTCTGAATGCCTTCAACCACCTATTAGGCATTAAATGGTTGCTTGGCAGACAGTTTTTGTACGTGCCATGGGCCTTACTCGTAAAATACCCCGGCGTATCTCTCGCATTGCCAGACTTTGATCCTTTCGGCACGCCCGTCGATAACCGCCGAGGGCAGGATACAGTCGACAACGCGATTGTGAGTCGTGTATGCGTTTCTTATCGGCAACTTCGGTTCCATTTGGATTATCAACATTTGTTTTCCCATCGTCACGGGGAATATAATATTGTATCTCGATATGGTTCTCAGGCGCGCAGTCGTAACGCGATATTCAGCGCGATAGAGCTCGCCCACGTCGCGAGTGTTATTTCGCGAACGACTCTTTTATTATTCGCCAATGAGTCGGCATCTTCGCACAGATCATACGACGATCTTACAATGCGACTTGCCGCGCAAGGGTGACTTTCACCAGACTCTGAGCCGACGAAATTTAAAATTACCGTCAAGAGAGTGTTACCTGTCCCGATATAGATAGAAATCATTGACTCTGCGATTATTGTTGAACGGCTAAATACAGAACTGAAAGTTAACCTTGGCAGTTCGTATCATTATTATTCATCGATTAGTTTGATCTGAGTTTGGCGAAAGTCACCCTTAGCATCTCTGTGTTCTCGGCTATCGGACGACGCCGCGCGACGGACACTCCCCGTACCGAAAGATGATCGATAACAATCGATTGTTACTTAAAAAGAGAAAATCGCGATCGTCATTACGGAACTTGCTATGAAAAGGGTCAGCACCGGGAAAGAGCGAAATGGACGTTCGCTCGGCGTGTGCCCGCTTATTCTGCGAATTCTTCGTCGGTATACATATACATATAAATAAATAAATACATACATACATACATACATACATTATATTATTACCACGGCGATGTAACGATGTGTTTTTCACCATTATATTACACGCGGCATGTAGAGATATTCTTCGTGTGTGTATGTGTGTGTATATATATATATATATACACACACACACACACATGAATATATATACATACGAATACATATATGTATATATTCGTATATTCTCTTGCATCGGCATCAACACGAAACGCTTTAAATAACTTTTCTACGAAAGGGAGAGCCGCAGAGTCTAGAAATAGTATATACAGGGCGCTCCGTCCGTCCATTTATGCGCGTTTTCAGCGATGATCGCAATCGGGAATCATTCACGCGGGGATTGCGCGTCATCGTAAGAGAAGAAAAAAAAGAGACACACACAGGCACAAAACTGGCCTAAAACCGTCGTCGCGAGCATTTCCGTCTGGCGTGTACACGAGTACGGCGGACTTATCGATCGGACGGACCACCCTGTAGATCGTCTCATCTTCTCGCAAAGAGCAGCAAGTACTATCGGGATCGGATCACTGCGTTGTACGATAATTTAAGCGACACGTCTTAATTTTTAAGTTACTCGTTCACGAGCGGTCGCATTGATATGCGCGCTCCCGCGTCCCGACGTTTGTCCGCATAACTCCCATGTCAATAAAGTAAGGAAAATGGAAGAAAAAGGAAATAAACGAGGGAAAACCATGAGGAGTGTTGCACTCTCTCTCTCTCTCTCTTTCTCTCGCGTGCGCGCGAGAGAGAGAGAGATAATCTCACTCCGATCGTTTCCATCCGTTACATTGTTCTTGCCGGCGGCCCCACGCCAAACTGTGATCCACTGACCGGACAGAAATCGAGCAAGATGTGACCGATAACGTGATTATGCCGGACGGGTTTTTTGCCTGTGCACTCTTGCTCCTTCTGCGAGCTCTGCTCGGCTTCGTTCCTGCACTCCTTCGTCGCGCGCGCTTGTGCGCCGCGAACAAATAAAGGAGGAGACAGACAGACTGACCGAGAGCGGGATGCTACCGCGCGGTCGTTTGTCGCAGAATTACAACTGCGAGCTGCAAATGCCGCGAGAACGCGCACGGATCGATCGGCAATTCGGCAATGCGATCGTAGCCTAATCGTGATATCGTGCGGATAAAAATACGCATCCGAATCGCGGCAACGCGGTCGTAACTCGTAATTGCAAATATACCAAGTTGCATTACTCCAAAGAGGCGAATGGGACCTTATTTTCTCTTAATATAAAAAAAAAATAAAGATGTAAATTCAAATTTCCGCCCCGCGATATATTAAAGAGCCCAAATTACAAAACAATTAGATTATTTTGTTCCGAATAGTCTTTTCGGCGGGTGACGACCTCCAATCGTGTAACTTCACGAGAACTTACGGCGTGTGTTTGCACGTTTGTTATTATTGTTTTTATCTTAGCTTGCTGCTAATTCACGTGTTTGTTCATAACATTTATTATGCTGGCACGTCTGGTTTTTATATGATCTCGATCCAACAAGTATATTAGAGGGAAACGTTAAAAACGAGGTTGTTACTTCTCGTCGGAATCCCGCAGTCAGTAAGTCGTCAAATTCGCGCATCAGAATTGCTCGACATTTCAGCACGACGTTAAGTTTCATTTGGACCAAAGATCGCACATCACAGACCATGATGCGTGTCATATTCGCTCTTCTTCCGTCTTCTTCGCTCGTCTCTAACAAAGGGTCGGACAATATATTGAAGAACATTTTGACATGAGGAAGAAGTTGCTAGAAAAGATAAGTAAGTAATCCTACGATAGTTGCGTAAAATAGTTTTTTTTTTTCGAACGAGAATGAATACTTATATTTCCGTCTTCTCTCGTGAACAGAATCCTATTTTATGGGAGCTACTCGTGATCTCAAGTATTTATCTATGTATGTGTCCTACCGACGAACGACATTTTTTTTTAAATAAATATGATTTATATTTATATTAAAATCTACATGAGAGAAATTACCTACATAATGTTTTCTGTTTTTAGTGCCGAACCTACGCAGATGTGATTAAAGAATGTTCGTTGATCAAAGCGAATTACATAAATGTATAGCACACGGTATTGAATCGCTAGGGCCTTATTTAGCCGCTGGTGTTAAACACTCTACATATCTCGGTACATATCTACATATTTTTACACATTTATAACTTATACGTATTACTAATGTAATTTTACATATATAAATGTATACAAATTACACGGCAAATCTAAATGTGTAATTTTTATATAGTTATGTATGTAAAATCATAGTATGATACGTAATATAATACGCATACAAATATGTAAAAAGTGTCTACATGTAAAATTATAGTGAACAATAAGTCGTACATAGAACCTATTGAACCATTACACAAGGAACGCTATGAATTTTCCCAGGAGAATGATAAAATTAATGGGACTGTGGAGTTCACGAATTTAACGATTCACGGTCTATCAAACTATAGCATAAATGAAGTTCAGTAAGTAATAAGGATCAGTCAATTTAACAAATAAGTCGGATATTTACTCGCAGATAACGCATGATTCGTAATTGGGATAGTTGTTCCATTTTGAAGATAGACTTAGGGTCGACTGATTAGATAGCACCGTTAAGATAGTGTTTCATTTATCGTACGACAAGATTTATCAAATTTGTCGATTGTCGAAGAGAGAAATTCTATTCCAGTGCCCGAAAAAAAACGTTATATTACAGATTATATCAGAATGAATTAACAATCCAATTGTGTAATTTTACATACTTATATGTAAAATCATAACAGTAACACGCGTAAAAATGCATAATAAATGATTACATAATTTTATACATATAAATGTAAAAATTTAACACGTTCGCTGCTGCATGAGTCATATACGCCCCACGTTAAACATTTCGTTTAAGCCGTTTCGTTATTTAAATATATCTTACATAATATATTATAATAATTATGTACTGATGCCGATATACTATACATATTGTAGTTATCACGTCATGAGGTGAATAGGACACATGCAGCGTGATAATCATTTTTTATATGTTCTTTTAAAAAATTCAGTTTTATAAATCAACTTTGCAAAGTTTGCTATAAAAGAATAAAATCGAAAAGTTTGATACAATATTAGCAGGAGATTCCACTGTAAAAATGAATTGTGCGGCGGAAACCGGAAAATCACAAAAAATCAGACCGGATGCGAATGTGTTAAAATAATATTTAAAATGTATGAAATATACATTTAGATTTGTAATGTATCCGATAATCAATTAGCATGACAACACTCTGACAACACTCGTACGACAAATGAATTAACAGCTTTAGTCGATCGAAACGACGCACGTCGTAAATTGACCGCAGATCGTAAGCAACTGTGCGCAAAACTTCTTGTCGTTTTTCAGATTTACCATCGAGGAACAGACAGGGGCAGGGTTGAAATACGGACAATTTGATATATATAAATTCAGATTTGAAACACGTTTTCCGTCCATTCAAATATTCGGTATCTACAATATAAGCGCTACGATTTTGAAAATACCTATGTTAAAAAGATATATAAGATATAAGCGCGGATATAAGATGCAAGCGAATTTTGAGGATGTCATAGCCAATGTATCCGTAAGAACTACTCATCGCTGGAATTATGTCGAAGAGGAGCATCATTACTTGAATTACGTAAACATGTCTTTCTTTGACCTAAGAGTTGCCAAGGTCTATTTGAACGACTTAGACGTTGATGATCTTGCAACCTTCACCTTGAATACCTTTTTGAACAACAACTTGCGGACAATATTAGACGAAATGATGCCCGAATTTGAGTCAATAACTGGAAATTTCTTTCAAATGATCGGAAACGAACTCTTGAATGCATTTTCGATGACAATATTATTCCCTCCCCAAATTAATAAAACTCATGCCCGTTATCCGCAACGATACTATTTTTCGCCATGATAAAAGCACGTCGTTACTTTTATTTTATCGCTATGACGAGAAAGCAATTATCTAATGACGTCTGCTAATCGTCTCCATAATTAATTATGCGCACGATAATATTTCCTACCGAGCGAGAATTTACGTGTATTCGTTTGCACAACGATTTGTGAACATTTTCAGAAAATGGACGATAGTTATAGTATCGAAAAAGTAGTCGAAATACGATGAACAAAGTTTTTTCGACTACTTTTTCGACACTATAACTATCGTCCGTTTCCTTTTCTGGAATATTCGAAACGTATACTCAGTTTGCGGATAATCGTACCCTTGATTTTATTATAAAGATTGAACACTTTCCTCTCGATACAGTTTGGAACATACCCTACTGATATACTGACATACTGACCTTTTTAGTAACGCAAGAACGAAAGCGAAAAAGTTGTATACAAACTTGTTTGTACTTTTTATAAAAGTAATAAAGGATACGCGCAAAAAAATAAATTTTCATGTAAGTGTCGGTCTACAATAAGTATTTTAAGCCTTAAACCTTAAGAAATTGACTAATCACAGTTAATTATTCTCTTCACGTTCGACTGTGATTAGAAGTAAGTAGAAAATTATATACGTAACTGTAACTTGATGTTTGCTGGGTTTTAAAAAGGTTTTTAAAAGGATTCGCGTAGTTTTAAAAAGCTGTCATCTACGTTTATAAAACACCACATAACACATCGCGTAATGATCAATAATAACTTCAAAAAATAGCAGTGAACTGTATTATTACCGATCATACAAAAGTGCATATTCGGCACTATATTTATTTTTCATTTCAAGTGCAAGAAAATGTTGCTGAAATTACAAAAATAATTTATGCAGCTCTTGACGAAGACGCGGTGAAGCATACAACTTGTAAAAAAATAGTATCAGCGATTTCGAGAAAATTTCGATAAGGCCAGCTCCACGACAACAGTTGACTTCACGTGGCAAAAGGAACAAAAGACGCTATTTTTAATATAGACTGGAAAGTTGTTCTGCACCCAGCTTATTCTTCAGACTTTACTCCTTCAGATTTTTATTTGTCTCGATCGTTACATTATTTCATTGGCTCAGATTTTAAAACAATAGAAGACGTTCGAATATTTTTCGGTAATTTTGATTAAAAATCGCAAAGTTTCAAGCGCGATGAAATTCGATTCTCGATCGTAGATCGAGCGCGATCTACGCGTGTTATACGAAACAGACGGGCAAAACGAGCCTCCATCTGCGAGCAGCTAGCGAGCAGCGCTGGTTTATTCCTGATCGAATGTTTTTGCACAGTCTCCGCGATCCTAATTGAATTCATTCGCCGGCTACTCTGCCGGCGAGGTTGCCGCGATACCGTAAAATCACGCAGTGTAGAAAATTTGCGCCGTACATTACATCCCGCAGAGAGCGGGCTTAATCGAGAATGACTTTATTCGAAAACAAAATTCAACTTCTCTTTCGTTTTCTTTTTTTTTTTCGTCAAGTAAAAATACAAAGTCTCTCTCGGCAACTTATTCTATCGACATATTGCGAACCTGTTATTCGCCGAATATTTCTCGAACTGTGCGTGAAGGAACGCGACGATTCGGAGAATATTCTCGGAATAGAACGTTCTGCGACGTAACACGCACACATTGGAGGAAGGAAGATAAAATGGAAAAATGGGAAAGACGCATGGAGCTGAGCCACATCGAGGGATAACAATGAATCATTTGTTAGGTTGACCCATCCCTCGACTCTTGAGGATACAATGGATACTATTATATATCAGCCGTTCGTCGAAGATCTCTTCAGACCTGCGATAAATAGATCAATCTCTACAAATAGATCCGACTCAGCTATTTGTGTTCATCGATAAGCGCGCATTAACTGCTAAACCAACGATGAAACTGTAAATAAGCGCGATATCTTTCGCGTCACGAGTTTTGAAAAATTCTCTCTCTCTTTCTCTCTCTCTCTCGAATAACGAGCTTAATAGAAGTAAACCTAAAGTTACTTTGTGGCAAGAGCGCATTACATGGGAACGTTTGTAGCGAATTAAGCGAATTAACGAGCAGAATAACGATGCAGTCGCGAGACGCGACCAATTTGCGACACGGAAGCAAAGTTCTCAGCAAAGCGTACGAAGTGGGAGAAAGGAAAAATGTGACCGGCGAGATGATCGGAGAGAAAAAAAGACGGAGAGCGAGAGACAGGGAGAGAAAGAGGACAAAGAAGAGCGGATCGAACGATATACGTCGAACGAACTGGTTCCTTCCATCACTGTTTTCGTTTCATCTTTGCGCTAATTCGTGAATTCTGACGCTTATGCGTTCGCACAAATGGCCTTTTGGACAAAACAGGTCTTCTTGGACAAAACAGGTTTTTCGAAACTTGTCTACAGTTTCTCGCAATTAGATCGCGCGATTGCGCGTTAGAAACCTGGAAAATCGATCGTGGAATCATACGCTGCGAATAAATGCAAAGTTAAACAAATTGGAGGGAACTTATTTTCGTGATATTGAGTGACTAATCTTTGACATAAAAGTCAACTTGAAAAATATTTATTTATTTCTTCGCACGATTCCTTGTGATTTCTAACACGTGTCAATCATTAATCTAACATGTAACGGTGACGTTAAGATTAAGTGCGAAGTAAAGTAAACTGGGAGAACTTATCTCCGCGATATCAAATTCTGATCGATATTAACGATATAAGGGATCAACCTGGAAAATTTTTCGTTCATTTCTAGTTTCCCGTATTAACATTTCTAATATGTATTAACTATTAATCTAAGGTCTATATCATAGTAATTTTAACATTAACGTTAAAATTATATGTAAAGTATAATAAACTAGAGGGAAAGTTTATCCTTGCGATATTAAATGATCGATCTGCAATAGAAAGGATTAGTTTGAGAAATTTTTCGTTCACTTTTAGTCTCCAATATTAATATTTCTAGTACATATTAATTATTAATCTGACATCTAACGTTAACGTTCAACTTATATGTTGAAGTAAAATACTGGAGAGAATTTTGATATATCGAGAAGTTCGATACATCGAACGTTCGATCTCCAAAATAAGGGAGATCAACTTGAGAAAATTTTCCTTTACTTCCAGTTTCTTGTATTAACACATTTCCAGCATTAACATCTGACGCGTAACGTTGACGTTGAAATTAATTTTTTCCAATTTTTCAATTAATTCGTGCATCGATCTCATTCAATGTGTGCTAAGGTATCGATTACGTAACTTTTCCCTTCGTTCGAAAAGGGTGAAAATGAAATGTTTTCAAATGAGAAAATTTACACTTTTCACGAAATCACGCTAGAAAAGAACATTCATGATCAATCCCCCAGGAGGCCATGAATCTTTTCCTCCAGAGTGAACTCATGAAAAGAGTAAATTTTCTAATTTGGAAACATTTCATTTTTCACTTGACACGTTTCAGCCTCGAGGAAATATACTCAGCTCTCCGCCGTTTACTCCACCGTTTCTTCACGGCGGCTCTTCAGATGCGACACAGATCTCCGGACACGGAATCTCGATGAGCGATATTGCAGACGCGCGATGTGTATACAGCTTTATTCTTTAGCGCGCATGGGACCCCGAGAAACGCGTCTGCAAGATGTCTCGCTCCCAAAGAGGTCTCGCTGCTCGCGCGCAGCGGGCTGCGGCCCTTCCTTTCATTGAGAGTCAGTCAGTCAGTCCGCCGGAGCGACGCGGCTCGTGCGTATCGTTGTCGCGAAGCCTCGTGTGTCCCCGTACGGTGCGTCCTCCTCGTTTTTGCCGCGTGCGTTGAAATCACCGACCTCCTCCGCGCCGAACAAAAAAACGCGAGAGCTACTGCGAGAAGAAATCCCCGAGATTTCGAATCGCCTCCGATCGCAAGGATCACATTCTGCGCATACGCACGTACGTATAAACGCGCACACACATATACACGCACACAGTACAAACACACGTACGTTCGCCATACAGCGCGTACGCAAATCGGAGGGACCGGATCATCGTCTTCGTCGTACGTTACGCGCGGCCGCCAGAAAGAAGGACTCCTTCCTCGCGGAGCGTGCAATACCTGGTGGCAGCGGCCTCGGCGGGGACGACGATGGCACTGAGCGGTGACACGTCGCGGCCGATTGTGCGCTCGGCCGCGGTCATCCTGACCGCGGCGGCGGCGTTGGTCCTGTTCATGGACTGTCCGGCGGTCGCCCGGCACCAGCACCGTTCCGGCAATGGTGCTCAGAAGCTGTCCGGAGACATCTCCCTCTGGATCGACCAGCAGCAAATCAAGATGTTCAGCGGTGAGTCCCGATGCTTGATTTTCTGCATCTTTTTTTTTTTTTATTCAGACATCGCGATTCCTGAGATCGAAGCTTTATTACTTTTGGAAGCGCGGAAGACACTTTTGAAAAATTACATAGAGAAAAATATTGTTGTGTTGCAAAGAAGAGCAGTTACTCAGTTTGTTTCTTTTCTTTTCTTCTTTCATCTTGAACAAAGAATTTTCTTCTTCTTGGCAATATTATTAAAATATACTCATCACGAATATCAGAAAAGTTTATTGTTATTTACTCATAAGAAGAATGTGTTCTCTTTCCACGAATATAAATTTTGTCGAAGAAAAGTTAAATTCGATTAATTGGAATGAATAAATCAATGTTTTAGTTTCAGCGCTTTAATTTTGTATTCTTGATTGAAGTACTAAACTTACTGCGATTCAGAATATATTTTGAATTAAATTTAACGCTTACGATGACTTATGATATACTTGCGGATATATAAACTTACGAAATACTTGAAACGAAAAATTTATATATTTATTTGAACATAGTATGTCATATTTTATTGCATAGGGCAGATTAAAAGCTTATTGTAGATCCGGATTAAGGGGGATCTGTGTACGGGGAGGCGCTGATTGAAGGCCTCGGTTGGCCGAAAACGTTGCGAACTTGAGATATTATAAAAAAAAAACGCGTCGGATCCGCCTTAGGCAGGCATTTTCGATATTTAGAAATGTAGCTGATGTTGAATGCCAGTCGTTTCGAAACGACGATCAAACCGTCATTCTTCTCACAAATGCAGGGTTGGCGATGGAAATATATGCTATTGCCGAGGGCAGAGTGTTGTCTTACCTCTTGGACCCGGAATTCGAGAACAAAGTGCCGATCATCCCGAGCGAGGTCTCGTACGTGAATTTTACGTGGAAGTCCGGGATAAAGAAGTATCATTACAACTTCTATCGACTGAAATCATTCGACGAGACCATTCTGAAGACCCCATCCATCACGATCAAGACGCAAGGACGGGTGCCTAAGAGACCGAAGGGTAAGGGATGTAGAAGAAGTCGCGAATGAGCGCGCTTAGATCTCAATTGATTCGAGATTTGATCGCGAATGCGTGATCAGCAAGTACAAAAATTCGCGATTTATCCAACGTATTTGTTTCACGTTGTCCCAAGCGAATGTATATGTAAGAAAGAGAGAGAGGGAGGGAAATCAAAGAACACACACGCGAAGGGTTTTTTCTTTGCAGAGTTCAGCGTTCTGCTGCCTTGCACCGGTAACAGTTCCGGCATAGCGCAATTCGGGATTGGCCTGATGATCGAGACACGCAAAGGAAAACCTTTAAACGGGACGCCGCTGCTTCTCAGCCTCCGGAAAGAATGCACCGTGCGTGGTGAGTGCGTCTGTCGACGATCCGTCCGCGACTTCTCCCCCTTCTCCTTCTCTTCCTTTTTCAATCGCACACACAGTTCTGCATTCGTCGGTTAAATTCATCGCCTAATTTTCTCCCGTATGTTCTCCATCTCGGAGGGAGAGAGAGGAAGAGAGACAGACAGTCTCGGAATCTCAGCCTTGGTGCGCGCACGCACGTTAACATGCGCCGTTTTGCTCGAGACACAGAGAGAAAGAGAGAGAGAGGGAGGAGGGGAGGAAGAGAGTGTAGCGTGTTCGCGAAATCCGGTTCGCACATGGCTCACGTTCCGACTGCTTTTTTTTTTTACTTAATCGATAGCGCAGCATGTGTATGTACCTGGTGTGCGCGCCAACTCTCGATACAGCGCTGCATGACGAGAGGATTATTAGTCGAGTCTGTCGCGTGAAGAACGACGGGTTCAATGACAAGTGGGTGAAATAGGCGTGTCAAATTTCCCCAACGCTTCTGTGGGAATCCGCGTGTCGTTCGGATTTATGGGATGTATGAGGGTCGTTCGGAAAGCCGTTCCTCTGACAGTTGACCATTGTCAGCGGAGTCAAGCATAGGATTGCCCGTGTCCACAAAGTTATGGGTCGACTATTGTGCAATGACAGGCTAACAGATGTCTCGCTGCGAATACAAAAGCGCGAAGCGTATTCGACCGGCTCCGACCATGCCCAGCATCACCGTAACCCCCATTGCCGTGGATATTTACGTAGCATTTTCACGTCCGGACCCTGGTCCTCGTGATCCTATTGTCAAATTCAGCTTGTTAAGGCTCTGGAGATCTGCTCGAAATTGCCCCGAGCTGGAACTCTTGTTGGCGTGACCTTACAACTTAATTTTCGGAGGGCTCCTCGCGACTCAGATCGTTCCCGGTGACTCGACAACGTCGCGTCACAAATCTCATATTGCAGAGACAATTTAATCGCAATTTCGAGGAGTGACAAGTCGACGAATCACCGTGGGTCGTAACGGAACGTTTGGGTCTGTTTGGACGCGGCTCTAATGACGCGTTTCGAAATCATATTTGTGCACCTGTTCGGATCCGATCCTTCGCCCGCCAGGTAAAGAGACATAGGTCGCTCCTTTGTAGAGCTCACCTTTTGTACGACGAAATGCATGGGTTCTTCTCTTTCAAACATACCTGTCCGTTCGTATTCGAACAGAAAACCAACTGTCGGAAATAGTGAGAAAAGTGAGCTTCATTCTGGAAAAAGAAGGAAAATGGTAAGTTAATTTTTAAAAAAGTGAGAAAATTAACTTAAAAAAAGCAAGTCTTTTCTAAGTACTTAGTACATTAAAAATTAAATTGTTTATCTACTATATCACTTCTTTAGAAGATTAAAAACAATAAGAAAAAACTGAAAATTAATAAAGAATAAAATTGAATTTTGGGGAACAAAAAAGTTACATAATACATGGAAACTAAAATATACTTTAACCCTTTGCACAAATTTTTCTGTTGAACATATTTCACTGAATTTTAGTATATGGGGATTTTTGAGTTTTTTTATTTCTTTTGATTACTGAAATCTGTGATCAAAATTTGAAAATACAAAATGACGGGTTTAATATCGAAGAAATTTTTGTTACTTTTTAACAAATAACAAATAAGTCATGCTCTTAGTCGGATTTTGTCTCATTGTTACTTTCTATTTTCTTTGAATCTTTTATTTTTTAAAGAAGCTAATTTGAACATGATTTCTTGCGATCGATTTTTTCTGAAAGAATTGAAGTCTCAAGTAAGAAAAAAAAGTGAATTTTTCTCTTAAACGTGAGAAAAAATAAGACGTTTCTAAATAAATGAGAACAATGAGTCGCTCCTGTGCCTGTAACTCACTTTTCAATCATTCGATTATTTTCTTGTTATTTCAATATATATATTGACATTATCGTGATTTTCTGTTCCATCTATGCAATTACATTAATTCGTTGACAAATTTGATAGGGCCTGAGTGTTTTCTGTTGTTCGAGCGTTAAACATATACACGTCGCTAATATTATATTTTGTGACATTCAATGACTCGAGAAGTATCAATCAAAATTGTTAGAACAAAATCGAGGGAAAAATTTTACGTTTAATTCTCGCTTGAATACTCCTTCGAACACGCTATTTCCATTCCATCGAATTTTCCGCGATGATATCCATTTTTCGTCCTTTTCTGGCGCACGCGGCATTATCCAGCTTATTTCTCGAGTCATTGTTCGCCGGCGAATTATCAGTTAAGCACCTAATTGACTACTTAATTTGAAGCGACGTACGAACCCGTTCTTCTTTCGCTTCTTTCGTGTTAACCTCGTTTCTCGCTGATTTGTGTACATTCAAATTCCTAATTGTCAGGTAGAACATGTTCGCGTGTTATTGTAACAATTTCATTGAAAAGTTTTCCTCTCGTCAATCTGGTGCCTCATACAAACGTTTTCATGATAATCCGGCAGAGGATTATCGTGACGTGTTTGAAAAGAGGATTATCGTGAGTAGGCACGTGTTTAAAATCGACTAGTTGTGGCGAGTTCGCTACGCAAATCCGCGCAAAAAAGGCACCGGCTGATATCGATCGACATAACGCGCAATTATTTTTAGCCGTTCGAATTCGGATGAGCGTAGCGGAATATGATTCTTCGGTGCTCCAGATATGGAAACGACTTACTTTTTTCAATTTTTTTCGTTTATTTAGAAACATCTTGCTTTTTCTTCTCACTTGAGAAAAAAACATTTCTTATTTTTTTTACTCGACTTTAGATTTTCCGGAAAATAATTTCTCACATATAATTAAATATAATTACATATGAGGCGTCATACATTGAATGATTAGAAATAATCGTGTATTTTTCTTTTTTTAATCGAATCCCTTGAAAAATAATTGGATATATTATTGGACACGGGCGAGATTACGCGAGCAAATACTTCGATGTTTGTCTTTTTTAACTCTGATTCTACTTTGCAGAGGCTAATTCTGGTCTGTGCCCGGATGGCTATCTAGGCCCGCCTGATTGCAAGAAAGCCCTCTGTTATCCGAACTGTATGAACGGCGGCAACTGCACGGCGCCAGGGATATGCTCGTGTCCGCCAGGATATCAAGGGCCCTATTGCGAAGGAGGTATGATAAACAGTAAATCAATGATATAAGGAAATATTAATCTGAAATTAATGCGCTATTTATGAGTATCTATTTAGAGTATCATCGAAATGTCCTGCAAACTTGACACAGATGTTTCTTGGTTAGTTTAATTATCAAAATAGTCCGAGAATACGCACTGATCACGTTTATTTAATCGTTCATTCACTTCAGCAATACCAGTACCTGTATCTGAACAAATCTCTTAGTCTCTCCGATTCTCTTTAGAAAGTTTCAATACTACATATAATAGAAAAGTAATGCTATGACCATATATTATCATAATTCTTTCGTTTTCGTCCTTACATACATCAGCTAACAGTTATATATTGCTGTAATGATCCATCTGAGATTTACTACAACACAGTTTCTCTTATCTATTCCCTTTCTGTATTTCTAATCCGACTTCTAAAGAACATTCTCATATTCCATATTATACAAAAAAATTCGTTATTAGGAATCTTACGGGCTCATCTACAATGCTGAATCTCGGTTGTTGGACGTAAAAGTTACAAGAAATTACTGCAAAATTATTAACAATTTGCAGTAATATCTAGCAGCTGTTACATTCTGCCAACAAATTCGGACCAAGCTTTCGTATTGATACAAGTTTTTAAGATTCCTAATGACGATTTTTTTTAACGCAATATGAAATATCTCTCTTAGTCCTGACGGCTTATTGCGTCGAGAGAGATCACGATATCATATATATTCGGGAAAAGAGATCAAACGACCGCAATATAAACTCTGGGGAGCATCCCGTGCACTCTCAAACTGACTCACCACGGAAAACAATGTATGAACGTAAAAATCGCGATATCTACGAGCTGTGGAACTGTTTCTCGTGTCGAGAGACGTGTCCTCATATCACCTTGGACACGGATATGGCTGCTTTGCAGCCGAACTTGATGAGATTTGTCAAAGCCTGGTAGAATGGCGCCTGCTCGGCGCCATGGTCGATGCCGGTGTCGTGATGCTCCTGCTCCTCGTCGCGGAACTGCTTGATCGTCTTGAGTATCTCCTCGTCCACTTGCTCCTTGCTCTCCATCAGCGTGCGCAGCTGGTCGTTGTAGTGTTCGACGATCACGGTCTCCACGGCCACAGTGCACGCCATCGCTGCTTTCTCGCCCATGAGAGCGGTGCCGGCGCCCAAAACGAAACCGGTGACGTTCCACAGTGGAGTGAGCACGGTGGGTCTCACACGGTACTTCCGGATCAGCTCCTCGAACTTGGCGCGGTGCTGTTTCTCTTGCTCCCACATGCGTTGTATGGTCGGTCCGACCTGTGTTCTGCCTGCACGGAATAGTCAGACTGGGTCAGGGTGTCCTCGACCGGCGGAGACTCGTCGAGCCGTGGGACACGAGCGACTCGCAATCGAGTCACCCGGATATGCTCAGTGGCTTTTGACAAGGCCTGTTCTCCTTAGCCGAAGTCCCAGTGCAGGAAGGCGATCATGATTATCTCCTCCAGTGTGAATTCGTGAACATTTCCATATCGATGACTAAGAAGCGATGCCTCGTATCCGCACAAATGGACACTTTCGGATTTTACTTCAGCAAACTCAGAATGTTTTTCTCTCTCGGCTTATTAAAAACGTTTTATTTGCGTTTGGAATCTTAAGGAACTTAAACTAGATTTCAAAAAACTAAATACAGACGAAATTGGATCGTTCAGAGCAAGATGAATTTTCAAAAGTTTGTTGTTTCTCCTGAAAACCATACGGGGTATCACTTGTCCTTAACCATCGATATGCTTTCATGTTAGGAAATGTTCATTTTTCACGAATTCACGCTGGAAGGAAAGATTCACAATCGACGCTCTGCAATGGAACTTCGTTCCTCTTTTCTTCGGCGCTTCGTTATTTCATTCCAAAGGCAACGAGTGCAATCTAGTTCAGCTAAGAAGAACGGACCTATCGACTAGTACATCTGTTCCTCGAGCTTCACTCTGTAGAAATATACAGGAGATATATCAAGATGCACACTACATAGTGCTGCACTACTGCTTGTGGCACGATTCAGTCGTTCATGCGCCACAGCTTTTCAACTCAGCTCAGCTGTTTGAGCGACTTTACCTAACACGGCCATCTGTCCGGCGTAGATCCTGTCGGCGCCCAATTCACCGGCATGGTCGACCCTGATTATCGAATCGAGCGTTTTTCTAGAGGTACATGCAGCCGTTGTCGACGTGCTGGCCAGTCGTGTCCCCAGTCGTCCAACTTGCAACATTTCCCTGCAAAATTCAAAGAAAAGCACAATGAAACACGAGAGTCTCTTGGTGGCAGATCATTATAATTTCAAACATGGTCCTGTAATGTCAAATAATTTCAGGTATCTGTGATGAGAAGTGCTTGAACGGGGGGAAGTGTGTACAGAAGGATATCTGCGACTGTCCCAAAGGTTACTTCGGCACACACTGCGAATTTTGTAAGTACAAATGACTGTGTCACCGAAGTTGCCCCGTATTATACATTTCACGCGCGCCAAGGCCTGTATTCTGAACTCTCTTTCATTGATAAAAGTGAGTTTCTAAAATTGACTTGAAAACCACCTGATTGACTGAGAAACCACACTTGAGGCACGTTAATCAATCAAGAGAGAGTTCAGAATGCAAGCCCAAGTCTTTTGAGTCTTGAAGTTTGAGAGATGCCTGTCACTGCTGCTTTTCCAGCCAAGTGCTTCGTACCTTGCGTAAATGGTGGCAAGTGCAAGGGAAACAACATATGCAGATGCCCAGTGGGATACAGAGGGGATCACTGCGAGATCGGTAGACGATCGTCGGAACGATCTACGTGCACAACAGCGTGCAAAAATGGAACTTGTCAAGCGGACAACACATGCCTCTGCAACAAGGGCTGGTTTGGCAAGTTGTGCAACAAAAGGAAGCCATGGGCTTAGGAATCAATGGCATATCCTCAACATCAATTTCTTCACGCTCCAATTCAAAAGGCAATTTAAGACGATGTCACATGTAAACTGCCAGAAGAAAACGCAATAGAAGATCACATCTATAACGTGTGTATAATAGGCTGTATTTAAAGCGATGAGAACAAAGGTCTATATTAATAGTCAGTAGAGAATCTCTCGTGGTATTAGAATGATGCAGAGCTTACCGTAGGATCTTGTTTTATTTAATATTGATGACGAACGAGACAAACAAGCAAACAGAACATACCATCAAAACATGTCTCCTACCTGGATTCAATCGGTCACTGTGAAGTGTGGCCAGTTCTATTTACTACTATTTATAGTCTCTAATTTACTCCATTTCAGATGTGATATGTAAAGCTGTTTTACGCCAATTTATAACATTTTATATAAATACATATATATAAACACACACACACACACACTTAGTTAATAATATACTTTTGTACTGTAGAGTGACAATTGTAAGAAAGGAAAAAAAGAAGAAAAATATATGAGCAAAATGTATTTTCTAACGGTCAGAGAGCATATGTCTGTGACGAATGCATAAATTCCGGAGAAGCTCCACTTCTTTCCTCCACACAGCATCTTAAAGAGCGGATAAGAAGCGGCGTGCCTTCTAAGTCCATGGGAAACATGAGCCACCGCACATCTGTTGCCGGTAGGAACTATTTATCTCGAAAGTGACGCTACAGTACGGTTTCGGAAAATGATTGGAAGTATCACAACCCAAACCAGAAACGTTTATCGTGCTTACGTATAATCACCGGGTTTCTCGACCGCTGGGAAAAAAGCGTCAACATCCGTCCAGATAGCATTATGTTGTATTAGGAAAAACAATCACGACCAAGCGGATGAAAGAGAGGAGAGAGAAAGAAAGAGAGAGAGAGAGAGCAAACATTGATGACACAACACGAACGCACTTTCCACCGCGACATTTCTCTCTCGCACAACATCGACGGCGTCAGCCACCGTACGGACGGACGGACGAAGGGGAGAAAGAAGCCGACGATTACCGGCGCGCCATCCCGTGAATCCCGCTGGCTCACGACGACCGTCGGGGATGATGAAATCCGTCGGAACGGAAGAGCGGCACGGAGGTTATGTCAGCCGACGTTACGTCTGGTCGCGCCGCGGCACTGCAGTCACGTGTCCCTCGGACCAATGGCCGTGGCTGTGCACGGTCCGCCATGACGCGTGCCCCACGGGCTCCCGCCAATCGCGCTATCCTCGGCCTGTATACATGTATATGGCGTTGGCGTTCTCCCGGATCGCTGCTGCCGTTTGACGGACTTTCCACGGGCAAACGGTGAGTGCCGACGCGGCGGCCGCGCACACTCGACACGTAAGTAAGCACCGTCCGGCCCCGCTCCGCCGTAGCGTACAGCGCGTCCGCGAAATCGCGGCAATTCCGGATCGTCTGCTCGGGCGGGCGTGCATCGCGCAGGCTCGCGAGCACCAAGATGGCCGGTCCGCGGTCGCGTTTGTTGTGGTGGTGATGGAGGCCCGCTCGGTACCGATCGATACGCCCGCCGCCGAATACCGGCTATGGCGGCTAGCGTTGTCGCGCGTCACGCATCCTGAGATAAACGCTCTGTCGAGCGTAGCGATCGCCGCCGCTGGTACCGCCCGGTGATGATAAGCGTCCGCGCGACCGTGAGCAGCGCGGGGCGTGGTGCGAGAGCGTAGCCGAGGCGGCGGTCTCCCCGCAGACGCGAAGAGAGCCCTGTGCGAGAGAGCCCTCCCTGATCCACTCCGCGGGACACACCAAGGTGCGTACGCAACTCGCGACTTTCACTGGGCCTGCTCCATCCGCTACCGCGTCACCGAGCAGTCGTCGTGAGCAGCTCCGCGGCTACCCGGAGGTGGTGGTCTCTTTTGCGTGTGCCCTGCGCATTTTCATTGCCCCCCCAAAGTATCGGCCCGAATAAACGCGCATATCCCTCGTCTCCCTCTCTGCCGTCGCGAGCGACGAGCGTGCCGCTTCTTCTTCTCGCTCGGCCGACGAGACGTGCGCTTCGTGTCTCTCTCTATTTCCCTTTTTTTCGCGGGCCCCTCACGCGGCGTTCTTTATTAAAGCGCACGTTGTCTCGTGTGTGTTGTCGTCGTTTGTCCGTCGGTCTGTCCGTTCGTCGCCGCCGTCGTCGTCTGTCAACGCGTTGCGTGCGTGGGAGTGAGATGCCGCGAGGAGAACGAAAGTCGCGGCAGTGGACGTTCCTTTTGGCATCGTCGTCGTTCTCGCCGTCGTTTTCGTCGTCGCTTTCGTCGTCGTTTTCGTCATCGTTTTCGTCGTCGTCATCGCTCTCACCTTCGTCGTCTTCGCCGTCGTAACTAGTTGTATTTACGGGCTATGCTACTTGCACATCGTATCTTCGCCATACCGCCGCACCACCGGGCTCATCGAGAGGATGTGTGCTCCACGTCGTGGAAGTCTGAGGGGAAGGCGATCCGTCGCCCGCAGACGCGAGCTGACCTCTCGTCAATTGCGCGAGATGTACATACAAACGTATACCTTCCAGCCAAGACACGTGTTGTCTGCACGTTGCGTCTCTCGCGTGTCGCGATATTTTTTGCCGCAGCACGCGGCGTAAATATCGCGGCGATCATCGAACGTTCGCAGATAGTATATGTATCTGCGATTTCTTTTTGCGATTAATTAAATATTCCTCGTTCTGGCCTCGGTAGTTTCGCAATCGGTTTTAATACTCTCTTTTTGCCGGTTCGGTTGAAACGCGAGAATTTTTCTACACGTGCTTGGCTTGATGGTTATTTCAATATACATGCACATTTTGTATATATATTCGTTGTATCTTTTATATCACCTATATAAAGAGATTGATTAAACACAATTATTCGCTGCAGAGTAAAAACCAATTATCGCTTGTGTTGCGCAAGTTTTACCGATAATTTATTACTCACAAGATTACTCAAGAATAATTTAACTTGATTATCCTGAATATTTTGCTAAAAATTGACCTATTTGGTTATTCCAGGTTAAGGTGATGTAGAAAAAATTGAAACTGCCAGATCAACATCGCTTTGTTCGGTGGTTAATGCAATAGAAACCATCAAGACGGGTGACAAGGAGAAGAAAATGGTATCTCTGCCCAACGCAGAGAGTGGTAACATGGACAGAATCTCAGACGACGACGATGACGAACCTAGTAGTGGATCGGAAACGTATGAGGAGGGAGATCTCCTCACAGCTGCCATGGACGATGATGTCACAGCTCAACTCGCTGCTGCAGGTTGGCAATACAAACACATTAATGGTGATTTCCATTTTTTTGCTTTCTCACTTTTTTTTTTTCTATTCATCCATAACTGTGTTTACTTGAGAGTCGAATGCAACACTGTCTTCAGGATCTCGGATAGGTTTGTCTAAGGTATTGAGAAACACCACTGAGATGTAAACAAAACGCTTCAGCAGTAAACGCAAAACGGATTTCGATTCGACGCGTTTGCACGTCCACGTTTGCAAAATTCTATTACAATTTATATACAATTGATATTAATGGAAATCAATGGATTTGTACTGTGGTTTAGTTATTTCAGTTCAGTGTCGTGGTGTCCATGATTCCGTCACTTACATCAAGTGGCTAACAAATGAACACATGATTGTGATTTTCAATTCTGGAATATTGTCATCATTTAGAGACAGATTTTCTCTACACAAATTTGAAGTGTTCGAAGCCTGATAACATCAAAAGACAGCTCATAGCTTGCTAATTTCACATCATTCATTTCTTCTTTATATCACATAATAATCTAGGATGGATTTGCACAACGATTATTTGGTCAAACTCATCAATACTGTATGCATTTCATAGTGTCTGTGTATGCTGTATCCTTACTTTAATTTTTTTTTTCTGTTCACTAATATCTTGTATGTGATTACATTTTGTACACGGGTTTTTCGTTTATTTGTTCATAAAATTTCATATCATTGTTGCTTGCGCATCCTTATTTGAATGCTCTAGAAATACATGTATATTTTCGATATGCCAATATGATCCGTTAAAATTAATTCCCCCGCTGCATAAATGAGCGTCTGTTACGTCCCGTTATCACCGATGACATTATCAAAATTAGTTCCTCCATCCTCTTATCTTCCATTGTATTGACATATCGAGATACTTAGGAGTTGCAACGATTGAAACATTCGTCCAATAATAAAATGTCCTTAGGACCAGTTGGAGTAGCTGCTGCAGCTGCTATCGTGTCGGCCAAAAAACGGAAACGTCCCCACAGTTTCGAAACCAATCCCAGTATCAGGAAGAGACAACAGAACAGACTACTCAGAAAACTTAGAGTAAGTACAATATAATACAATATCTAGTGCAATTATATCAGCGTACATGTCTAATGAAAAATTGTTGCCACATTGTTGCATTCCTTATATTTTCACTGTACGAGTAGTTTTCCTAGCGATTTTCAACGATGAAAAGTGAAACGATACACATAATGGTATTAATATGAATTAATAGTAATAATTATGAGGCATTCGGAAAGGAGAGTGAAAACCTTAGCAGAATTGTTGGCTTGTAATTTTAGGATAATATTCAAATGGACTATCGCAGACAGAACGGCTTTTAGTTTAAGACTCCAAATACAACGCAGTTAACGTATATTACTTAAAACAAAAACTCAAGGTCTAAAACGTTGTCTTATCTGACTGACAAGTCAACCATTTTGACTAAGAATATTAGTCCACATATGGTACGTTGTATACGATATACATCGCGTTTAAGTCTCGAAGAATATTGACTTATCACTCGCTCTGGACGCCTCGTAATGAATGGAAAGTGTCTCGAAAAGATAGCGTCGGCCAATAAATACATATCGTTTGACAATTGCAGCAAACTATCGACGAGTTTGCAACGCGAGTTGGACAACAGGCGGTAGTGTTGGTGGCTACTCCGGGTAAGCCAAATAGTAGTTACAAAGTTTTCGGGGCGAAACCGTTAGAAGATGTAGTGAAGAATCTAAGGAGCGTTATCATGGAGGAATTGGAGAACGCGTTGGCGCAGCAGGCGCCGCCGCCGGTGCAGGACGATCCTTCTCTGTACGAGTTGCCGCCTCTGATAATCGACGGTATACCAACGCCAGTGGAGAAGATGACACAGGCCCAACTTCGGGCTTTTATTCCACTAATGTTGAAATATTCGACCGGCCGAGGTAAACCCGGCTGGGGCCGAGACAGCACGCGACCGCCTTGGTGGCCTAAAGAGCTGCCTTGGGCGAACGTCCGGATGGACGCGCGGTCGGAGGACGAGAAGCAGAAGGTAACTCAACACGTGCGCCACCGATCTGTGAGACGCACCACTTTCAAGTCCAATTTTGCCCAGGATGACTTCTAATCAGACTCGAATTAAGCTTATTGTTTTCTCTCTTTGTGACCATTCTTGAAAATCTGTCTCTTACATGATACTTATTGTAATAAAATATAAGAAATATATAGATGTCAAAATTATGACAAAACAACAGTTGATGTTCTGCAGTATTTATGTTAAATAGTAAATATTTTTAGTAATAACAACAAATAACAGTTGTGATTGACGAGAAAATTATTAGCTTTTTTCGTTTGGAGTAGATTTGGATCGTTCCAGGAACGATTGATGACGTTCTAAATTCTGTAATTGGCTAGTAGAGGCCGTGATGCTTAATCACTCCTGGAGTGATCAAAACTTGCTTCATTCCAAGATATTATATGTAATATTTGTCGATATATCTAGTATACATTATAACGAATGACTCAAAAATTATGTTTCATCAAGCACTTTTGCGCTGTGCTCGATTGCATGTTAACACAATGTCGCAACAGTGCTTATCTATATCTCTCTGTTGGAAAGCATCCTGGCGGCGTTAGAAAAATACTCTCGAGTCCGATTTTACGACGTTACGGTATGCACACGACGACATCTAAACGATCTTAATCGATTGCAGATTTCGTGGACCCACGCGTTACGGCAAATTGTAATAAATTGTTATAAATTCCACGGAAGGGAAGATCTTCTGCCGGCGTTCAGCGAAGAAGACGACAAGTCCAATGTTCTGATACAGCAAGCCACTCCCCATTCTTCGTCGCATCAGTCGCACTCGTCGTCGAATCAAGGGCAAAGTGGACAGTCGCAACAGCAACAGACGGTGGGAGTTGTTCGCCTCAACAGCACGGATTCATCTAAGGGAAACTCTTCGCCAGCACAAATCATTGCCGCGTCTCCCACAGCTCTTGCCACTGCCACTCAGGTGGGAGTGGATAGAGTACAGATCGAAGAATCTATGTTTAGGCTCTTTCATTGGCTATCTCTTGTACATTTGGTTGAGAAAAATCGTAGATCAAGTAGATACGAAGAATGAAACACATCACGACGGAGATCTTGAATCGAAACTTACTTTCGAGACTCGCGGCTTTCTTGCGTGTTTCAGACTTTATATCTCCTCGAAACCGGCATCTAATAACGTATTGTTTTTATTAGTCATGTCGTTTCTACGTTTCATAGAGAAAATAATTAAGAATCTGCAATGTGTTTTATTTTTTTCCTTTTTTTAACAAAAAGGAAAAGAATAAAAAAAGGGCGATTTTCACGTTTTCGTTCGCATGGTTGGTTTCCCTTATTTGAGTTACATTTGCTTTTCATTGTTATCATTCTTATCATTAGCTTTATGTATATGCAAGAATTGTTCATATATATTTTGAATTACAATAATCTAAGAGAACAAGTTTATTTGCACTTCTCTTACCATTGTATTATTTAATTGCTCCAACCTTGATGTGATGTCGAACGAGATCAATAATCGTGCCATTCGTTTTACAGATGACGGCCCAGTATCCGACAGCTGTATTGCAGACAATAACCAATCCAGATGGTACAGTTTCTATAATACAAATGGATCCTAGTAATCCAATTATCACGTTACCAGATGGTACGACAGCTCAGGTTCAAGGAGTTGCTACCGTAAGTCTCCCTTTCGAGAACAATTCGCGAAATGTCTGAAATGTCATTGTATCTCGTCGCCCGCGCGAGGTCTCACCTTGTTGATCGTATTTAGATCCACACGAGTCAAGGAGAAGTGCAAACACTAGCGGAAGTGGCCGGCAGTGCGGAGGGTGCTAGTGTAGCCGTTGATCTGAACAGCGTTACAGAAGCAACGTTAAGTCAAGACGGCCAAATCATCCTTACCGGGGAAGACGGACACGGTAAAACAGTTTTCTATAGGCTCTGCACCGTCGCCGGCCAGGAGCTGCTCGAGCAGTGACTTGGTTTTTTTTTAATTGTCTATAAGTTCTTTTTGTTACTTTGCATGCTGTACGCTGTGCTCCAATCAGGGAATCGTGTCTTACTGTGAATGTCGTACTGTTTTGTATAACGAAGTAGGAAGTGAATTAGTTTTTACGTACCGTCCCGTATTGTGTACATATATATATATATATTATATAGCAATTTTATTATGGAGCTATGCACAGCTTTATTCGATTTTTTTTTTTTAAGAATTCACGGTAATTGGACTTTGAAGTGTTCAAGTAGCATTCAAATGGATGGGTGTTCTTTGACATTAACATCTCCTGCATTGTCCGGCAGAAAACGCAGAAACCGCAGATATGACCGAATAATACATGCAGCATCGTGTTACTGTTTGATGCATTCATGCGCTATCTATTGATTTCGGCGGAAAACGTTTCGTCCAAACAATCGTGCATAACGTAAAAAAAGAAAATAGTACGGAGAGAGAAAGACGGCAGGTACTTTATGTGATATATGTACGTGTAGAGTGTCTTTCGCTGTAATGCTATCGCATTATTTTGCAATGACATATCCTCCGGACAATTCAGGAACGTTGTTTCTTCAGCGAACATATCGGGGAAGGTAATTTTCCAGGAAGGTGGCGTTTCGCTACCTTCAATCGTCAAATTTGTAACATTGCTCGTGTTGCGACCAAGTCCCGAATGAAAATTTTATTCGAACAGACTATTTCGCCAAAATTCCTTCCGCTCCGATCGAGCTGTGATCGAAAATTTATATACGTTTCGACCGTTTTCGACGAGGAAACCATGACCGCCGATTGCCGGAAGAGAATGTTAAAAGAATAATACGTTAGAAGTGAAACACCCTGTATATACGCCCGATTTCTCAATCGTATACGTACGCACGCACGTAGTATATATCGGTCGAAGTGTATTATGCATTTTGTAATGTATAATATTCGGATGAGTGATTTTAAAATCACATGCATTTTAGCGAAAAATTCTGCCGCGCGAATACACAATTTTTCAACGCCGACAGTATCGAACACGCGTGAAACGACGTCGAATTGCTCGTAACACGCGAAGGAATTCCCATCGCGGGCGGTTTTGCGATGGATTATAAGTAATATAATTATGAGACGAGTATGTTAATTCGCAATAATTTTTGGCGCGTGTCGCTCACGGATTCTTAAATCTGGAACACCTCAGGCAAAATCGCGGTAGGCGATTGTCATAACTCGTAACGAAAGAAACTGTCTTACCACGATCATTTTATCACCGAAGAGATTGGTGGATATACGTTTTTGACGTTATCACCGAAGATTGATTATTGATTTTGATTAAACGAAGGAAAAATAAACTTGCTGTACATAGAGTATTTTTTGTTGATGTTTTATTATTTTGTATATATTATTATGTTCTCAGCGGCCTGTGTTCAAGCTGCTCGGGGCAAAAACGGCAGCGCGCCTTGGCCACGACGTTTGCCACCGCGCTTTTGCCTCGTCCGTCGCGCGTGCGTCGCGCGAAAATTCGCGGTTTAATGTCGGATGCTTTGTCGCAAGCAGTTCGAACACTAGCCGCCCCTCGTAGACGCCTTATTTGTTGTACGACAATAGAGCGCGAACCATGCGATTGCTTTCAAGTAAGTCGAACGATTGTGCCAGAGAGAATCGATTCTTAAATCGTAGTAAGTACATTTATCTCTCCTCAATAGAGCACGTTCAGCACAACCTGTTAACACGTTCGCCGCCATGCGTCACACACGTGTACGACAGCGAGAACTCTTCCTCATTCTGTGCCCTGTGTGTGTGCGTGCGTGCATGCGTGCGTGCGTGCGTGCGTGCGTGTGTGAACAAACTTCGAAATCAGTTTCACGCTGCTATATGAAAGAAAGTACAGAGTGGTCTGTGATGGACGGTTTGCCAAGTGATGAACGGTGGTGACGAACGTGTTAATGGTGAGATCGATATTACTCTTTGGCTTTGCGAATTGCGAAGACATCGTGACGCCGCGCTCCGCACTTCTACGAAGTATCAATAATTGAGTAGATGTTCGACTGTATCGTAAACTGGCAGCACGATCGTTTCACGAGAGAAGATGGGCGAACGAACGATGAATGAACGGCGAATGTGTAATATGAATCGTTTGGGTTTAAACTCGCGCGAACTCTCTTCGATAAACCATCTTGTGAGCAAATCGAAAACTTTACGTTTGAATTTGTCATGGCGTACACACTTTTCAAATTGTAAGGTAAAAGTACCAATGCCTGGACATTCTTGTTGTTTTAGTCTTTAAGTACGAATATTCAAACTTTCAACATAAAATATTTGTATATATTCTATGTATGTATGTATGTATGTATGTATGTATACTCTATGTTGGACATTTAAATATTCGTATTTAAAGACCAAAACAACGAGAATGTTCACAGTTAAGTACTTGTTCAGGCATTGGTACTTTTACTTTAAGAAGATCTTGCAGTCGTCTTGCTTTACCGCAAATTTTTTAATACTGTACACGTGGCTGCACAAAATTAAAAATCTCTTCGCATAATTATAATACACATATTAATCTAGGCGAGGACGGTTGACTTTATTCGAAAAACCTATTTATTGTAATTATGCGAAAGGATTTTTAATTTTGTGCAGCCAATATCGTGCATAGTATCTACAAATTTGCGTATTAAAACGGGACGATCAGAATCTCCTTAAAGATGAAGGTTTGCATTCGCTACTCGTTCCTTGCTCCTTCGCTCAGCGTATATCCAGCCGTAGAAGGCGCAGCATAAACCATTTTTCCGCGAACATGTGTAGTGCAAGTAACACAAGATTTTCCTTTACACGCACGCACGTATGCACACGCAAAGACGCGTTCGATCGCGAGCGCTTTGCAAACAGCTTCTTGAGTATTGTCGCAACTGTAAGTACAGTCGAGTGAACGTACACTCGTCCTCCAGTTTGCAATACAGCAAAAGAGCAGACATCTAATCGCACCATGCCTGAGATGGCCAGGCAGAGCAGATAGGACGTTCCTTTCTCTGTTGCAGGATACCCCGTCTCGGTGTCGGGAGTGATCACCGTGCCGGTGTCCGCCGGTATGTATCAAACTATGGTGGCCAATATTCAGAGCGACGGCACGATGCAGGTAGTCGCGCCGATGGTTCAGGTGCCCAAGGTCGAGCCCGGCAACGGCGAGAGCATCGAGGCAGTCACTATACAGGGTCATCCGATGACCATGATTAACGCCGCCGGCGAGCACCAGGTACTCCAAGTGATATCCCTGAAGGACGCTAATGTTCTAACGAAGGCTATTCAGGCCGAGGTTATCAAGGACGAGGATAGCCAGCCGCAACAAACTGTGTCTAGCCCAGAATAAAAGAAAAACAGAAAGAGTGAGAGAGAGAGAGAGAGAATGTTAAATGTGTGTGCATCAGTCCGTATATACAAAATCACTTCGTATATCGTGAATCGAGTTTTTGCATCACAGATTGTGAGGGAGAAAGAGAGGGAGATATACGGAAGTGATGAGAGTGTGAAAGAATTAATAACGATTGATGTTGTGTTCTTTCTCTTTGAGTCATTGTATAATAATGTCCTATTGACTGCGGATTGATCATCGAAAGCAGAGAGAGAGAGAGAGAAAGAGAGAAGAAGGTCTTTGCCTGAGAGTGAAAGTGTGAACGAGTACGTCGATCGATCGGATTATTAAGATTACTCGTATTTGTACTCAAGATTTATCATAGGCGCTTGAGGGTATTCACTTTGCAATTCGACTTTTCAGACGTAGTATTAATTTTCTAAGAGATCCGTTTTATCGCGACAGCGACATGAGGCGACACCTGTGGTATTCGCCGGGATGCATATATGTAACTATCTCGTACTGTTTATTGGAAAATGGAAAGTCATCGATAATGTATTTTCCGGTACTGTTCAAGCTATACTAAGGACATATTTTCATCTAGTCGTAGAGTCAGGTCGAGGTATACCAAAGAGAATTAAAAACGAGAAATTTATTTTTAATTCGACAATGTGAGAGAGAGAGAGAGAGAGAGAGAGAGAGAGAGAGAGAGAGAGAGAGAGAGATAATATGAGNATATGAGTGTTTATTCGGAAATTTTATTAACTCGACGAGTCGAAAATAATTTTGACATAGAGCTCGATTGCTTCCACAACAGCGGGAAATGTAACTTATCCGGTTTCCCCGTCTTGGATCTCAATAGCCATCTTGGTTAATTAATTAAAGAAAAAAGAAAAATCTTCATAAAGGCACAAAGCTCCTTCAATTCGCAAGTACGTAGAAAATTAAGTACGTAGAAAAGTGGAAAGGAAAAAAAAATTGCTACTTGATTTTGTATCTCAACAAAGATTTGTTGGCTGTAAAGAAACGTCGAACCTATTTTTATGGCTAATGAAATCACATTGAAATAACTTTCTTTTCTATTGCAGAAATATTTAACCGTATATATATACATAGAATGTTCCATTATTGCGGTAAAACACCAATTAACGGCAGATTCCCAGTGACATTGGGAGTTAATTTTTATCAGGATTTTAAACGAAAATGTCGATAAAAAAAATGACTTTTGAATAAAAAGATTTTGAAGATGTCTAGTTATATATGTAGCAAGATTTCGCGCGCTCAAACACGTTCGGTTGCACACTACTGAAAGGTCCTTGGCGCCCAATTATTTCCTCTTTCATGATATTAATGTAATTTCGGATATGTTGCCACTTTCCGTACTTTTTGTCATATTGATCTTGTAATTAATTGAGATTCGTGCTAATAACAACTGATTGAACAACAAAATGATAAAGTGGGCGTAAAAATGTCAAGAGCTGTCAAACAATCGAGGCCCCGCGGGGTACCTTTGCTACTGTGTGACGAGCCGTACCTGAGCGCACGTCTCTTTTTTTTGAGCCTGATTGGTCGTCTGTAAGGTTGTCTCTCTGTTTAAAAACTATTGTATTCTCGACGTTTTCGTCTTATGATTTTTGTCTGAAAATGTCAAGTATCTGCCTGTTAACGGGTGTCACAACAGTGATGGAACACCTTATGTGTGTATGTGTATATATATACATACATACACGTATTACTTGCATACATACATTACTCACACATGTGTGTGTGTACGTACATAAGGGTCGATAATAGAAGTAATGACAAAAAAAAAGAAGTTAAGCATTTCTGATGGGTACAAATAGGATATAAGATGTGTGTTTTCGAGAAAACAGAATATACGGATTTGGAAATTTCAAAACGCACCAACGAGGCGTGTGTCCATAGTCTTATTTTACATGAATGAATCATATTGCACTACCTACATACTTGCTTCGATTAGGATGATCGAGAGAAAAGCATCGCATGATCGTCGCATATCAACGCGATGGAAAAAAAAAATAATAATAACGATGGTACGGAGCGAGGCGGCGTTCATTCATCACTTCGACTCACATACACACACATTAATTAATTGCTGAAAATGACGAATGAACGCTCTGTGCTCTGTACATTATATTTCTACGAGAGATTATGTAAAATGTTTCCAATCTTGAAAATTATACCGTAGCTACATGTACGCACTAATTTTCTAACAAGGTGGAGAGAGTGTACACGATTGTAAAAACCAGGATTTGAATATCGTCCTTCATTCCGATCGAAGGTAATCAAAAGAAGAAAAAAAGGAAGGAAGAAAGGAATCGATTCTATTTTACACTGAATAGTATCGGACTGTATCGTGGCATTTAAAAAAAATCTGATTGATCCATTTTGATATATAATGTATCTAAAACGGAAAGTGTATATTTTGTGTGCAAACTTGTTTCAATGTTGCGGTGCCCGATATGTAAAAAAAAAGAATCCGTGCCCAATAAATATATATAATTGGTATTATATATATAAATATATATAATACTAACCATTCAGTAACGTAACGTCAATGTTATAATTTTCCCGCTCAACAATGTAATTGTTACACGCGTTATATTGCGTTTACACTGTTGAGGGGGAAATTATAACATTGATGTTATGTTAGTGTTAGTTGATGTTTAATGGGTGTGTTTTCTCCTTTCGATAAATAATATCTCGCTCTTCTTTCATCGCGATCTTTCACATCGTGGAGACCGTTCCGTCTAATTGGAACGATTATGACAATGCTATTTGTTCGTTCAATTGTTCAATATCAGTACTACAACGATCTGATTGTAAATTAGATTCCCATTCAACTGTGTACAGTGAACACTTATCTTCGAAAGTCGTAACATTGAAACAACAAACTGCCCCTGAAGAAAAACCACACGTGTAATAATACCAAAGAGGTTTTTTATAACATCATAGAGGAAAATAGTGTGTTGAGATTAGAGGTAAATACTATTAAAGAACGTATCATAAATGATTAGACACTAATTGTTGCGTCGTTTTTTTAAGACCAAGGCCACTACATTAATATTGTAATATATCGGTACTCACGTGTAAAATAAACATGTTATATTTTCCCTTTGTTGTTTGTAAGAAAGCACACGGAGCAGTAAATTAAGTTGAATGTCATTCGAAAAGGGGGAAAAAAACGACAAAAAAATGTGTATTACGATTTTAGATAATTATAGACGTATGTGTATATGACTCGGTTGACTGTCGTTGCGTATTTACTCCTAGTCTCATTTCCATTATCGTGCGATTTATAAATATGTGTCGTCTATGTGGTGCTCGGAGGAGGAAGGGTAAATCCAAGAACCTTCGGCGAGTATACGGAGTAATTTATGGACCTTAATGACAGATTTTTTGAGCAATTTTAATTGGATTTATATCCTTAGTGAGAATACATCAAGAGGGAATCTATTTTGTTGTCGCTCTCCAATTGTGTATCTTTCAAGCGAGATATGGCGTTGTATTAAATTTTCGATGAGGAAAAGATTTTTGTTAAAAATGCTCAAAAAACATATTTATGTAATTAAAACTTCAATTTAACACATTGCGTACGGTGTTATTTCAACCCATGCCAGGGGATCTTACATAGTCCCTGTCAAATGCTTTTTTGCGTTATTCTTTACCTGCACTTCGACGTTTTTCACTTGTCCTCGTGAAATTTCCTCGCCGTGGCAATAAAGATCCAGATAAATATACTGTAAATATGGTCGTTGATTACGATTTTAAGGACGTGTACAAACGATATCTCGCGACTTGATTTCAACATGTGATTTGCTGAACACAAGATCTTGTGCGAGCTGTACGCAATGTATTAATGGTATCATTATATTACGGTATACATGGCTATACATATTCTCTTGAGTCTTCTTTTTGTCTCTTCAAGATCAAGAGATGATAATTACAACTGTGATTCTTTATTCAACAATGCCGCTGGTAATGCAAATACATGGAAAGTATAAGCTCAGTTTCACTGATGAATTATCCTTTCATCATGCAGGTTTCTGCATCACGCATACAGCAGCGTCCGAGATAAATACTAGAATTTATATTATCAATTCTTTTAGTTCGTTACATATGATACACGGATTCGACGGCCAATTCTGGCTTGTCGTAGCCTAGCTCCTCAGGTGTGCTGATACCCAGCTCATCCAAGGTAGGTTTGATCTCTTGAAGGATATATGGGTAAACTGTTTTAGCAAAAGGTCCAGCTTTCTCTTTTACAGATTCCAGGAACCTCACGGCGAGTGCGAAGTCGTTCAGTCTTCTGCAGGCCTTCAACGCTGCGCAGATGATCTTTGGCTCTGGTACCAAATCCATACCTAAATCATACGTAACGTACTTGTTAATGAAAGAAAGTCAATATCAACCACACACACACACACACACACACACACACACACACACACACACACACATATATATATATATCTTATAATTTTTCACAAAAATTACAACTTTGTCAAGTTTTTTCGAAACCTTCAAAACTGTGAGACACGAGTAAAAGTAACTTTACAAACCTTTACAGTTTTATATGAAATTACACCTTATACAAATATAACCCTTAACTTCATACATAATATTTAGCATTATTATCAAATGTTCGGTACCATACTGACATACATACAAACATACAAACTTGACATTTGTCTTATAACTTCATAAAATCTTCGAACTTGACAAAACACCTTACTCACATATCAAGGGTGCACTTCTACTCTACTGTAGCAGTCGAGGTTCATTTGATACAAGTAAATTTCATCGACGCGTCGTAGCCGGCAATCAACTCACCGGCCAGGTCGTTCATGGCCTTCCGGATTTCCCAGTGATCGATGTCGTTGCGACTGAAGAATTTTACATATCGCTCGTCAAACTCCTCGTCGGTACCGTCGTGAGATGCCCTGGCGCTCTGCGTACTGGTGACAGCTGTCGCACTTCGCGGTGCTAACAGACCCGTGCGCGCTGCCGAGGCCGCGCGTGCCGCTACGGCGCGTAGCATCGTTCTATTCAAGATTTTACGTACTCCAAGTATTCGGGAGGAACCCTCGTCGGTCGAAGACCAGGCTTGTCTGTTGCGTAAACCGTACACGACGGAAGTCGATACAAGAGGGCTGTGTGATCGCAGGAATTCACCACGAGATAGCACGGTTTTCCCACTTCCCTTTCTCGGCGGTTAGTGGCGCGAGTGTTCAATTTTGCACGCGCGACTCCTCGACAGGTAGTACGGTAAAACGGGGTAATGGCAGTCATCTAAAGCGGATACTCTCATCAAACTGGACTATATTATAAATTAGTGCTATATTAGGACTGTATTATAAATTAGTGCAAAAAATTCTATAAAAGTATGCATCAGAAAGACAAGTGAAAAGGCGAGAAATACGATGTGACCGGGATTACCCCCTCCTGCTATACATTATGTCATTAAATTTCTTTAGATCCGGCATGAAAATAAGCACTTTGTGCCGAGGGCTTAATGTGATGTTCCATGGCTTTTATTCTTTCTTACCCTCATAGCTGTCATATAATAGATGATAGACACCCCCCCTCCCCTTGTAATGCTTAATGTGATGTTCCATGGCTTTTATTCTTTCTTACCCTCATAGCTGTCATATAATAGATGATAGACACCCCCCCCCCCCTTGTAATGCTTAATGTGATGTTCCATGGCTTTTATTCTTTCTTACCCTCATAGCTGTCATATAATAGATGATAGACACCCCCCCTCCCCTTGTAATGCTTAATGTGATGTTCCATGGCTTTTATTCTTTCTTACCCTCATAGCTGTCATATAATAGATGATAGACACCCCCCCCCCCCTTGTAATGCTTAATGTGATGTTCCATGGCTTTTATTCTTTCTTACCCTCATAGCTGTCATATAATAGATGATAGACACCCCCCCTCCCCTTGTAATGCTTAATGTGATGTTCCATGGCTTTTATTCTTTCTTACCCTCATAGCTGTCATATAATAGATGATAGACACCCCCCCCCCCCTTGTAATGCTTAATGTGATGTTCCATGGCTTTTATTCTTTCTTACCCTCATAGCTGTCATATAATAGATGATAGACACCCCCCCCCCTCCTCTTGTAATGTAATTGTTAAATAACCCTTTAAATATTTACCTTCGATGTTACTTCGTGTTGCAGGAAATTAAGAAAAGGATAGGATACTATTGTGAACATCCTTGTAATTTTTTACAGATATTCTCAATGTAAATCTTTATGTAGTAATTTTAACATTTTCTATGCAACGGTGACCACAATGAACAATGATGAAATAACATAATGAATAAATGATAACAGAAAAGGACTCGTTTTATTACTGTTATTTCGGTGTTTAATCTCATGGCGGCAAATATCGTGATGGTAGTAAACGCAGCAGCCGTTTTTTTAGTACAATGTTACTATATTTACAAAAGATGGGATTATAAATGGTACAAGTAAATCACTCCGACACTCGATATACATCAAAAGTAATTACGTACAAGAGAGAAGTGTTCAAAGTAATAGAGTCATGGTGCAATTTATACGTATATTAGAGGTATATTGACTATTTTTTTCCCTTCCGTACTTATACAAAATATATTTTATACAATGTGAAAAGTCGCGTCTCGCACGGACACGCATTCCGTTGCTTTAAATACTAATAGCTAGTGTCGCATATGTATACAGAATTGACTCGATATTCTTTTAATATATATATGTATGTATGTGTTTGTATACACATGCACACACATATATATATATACATATATATAACAAAAATCTCTTTTCTATATTATACATAAATTTCATGAGAGTCATACCTTACGACAAGTGCTTGGCGCAGCAATTATTGTACACTCGTTTGCACAGCGCGGTTTGCACGCGCTTCTTCCCATTAACTCAATAGCGCGTCAAATGGTCACAATTGCGAGCCATTACTGAAGGCACTCGCGCGATAATCGGTTACGACAGGTGTAGACAAGCGGTAATACACGTGACATCCGTCACAATCGCAATAGGAGTCCAGAAATGTGCCGGTATTTCTATTATGCTTTTATCTATCAGGTAAAAGTGTAATAAAAAGCCACCGTTTATAATATTTACATCGTTTACACACTATTTTTATACACAAGTTTTTTTATTATGCTTTTATCTTGATCAGGTAAGAGTATAATAAAAGGCCACCGTATTAATATATAATATATAATATTTACACCATGTGCACAGTCGGCAGATTAATTACAATACTTTTTTTTTATGAGTTTTGCAAACGGATCCCGTGTTCAGTAGAAGTTTTTAGTAAACCTCAGGAGATACATTCTCCTACTGGACGCGAGACGTGTTGCGATACTCGTCGAAAATAAAAGTGTTGCGGCCTTTCATCCGCCGACTGTACATGTATGTGTGTGTGTACAGTTGGCGTCATATATGCTGTACTATTTTCTAGATCGAAAATTACACGATTTTTAGATTCACACATGTACATATGACATCAAAACCATCATATAATCAGAGTCTATAACCCTATATTTATAATCAAGGTTATTTATATTACAATTTCCAAATTTTTAGATTATGTATGAGGTTGAAAATGGTGTAATTACCGTCTGAAGAAGGATATAGCATACATGAAGCCGACTGTAGTTATTGAACCTCTGTCATAAAACCGATTACCGTGCGAGCCAATGAGCGGTGGGCTCGCAATCTCGGGAGCGTTTGACGCGCTCCCGACTTCCTCAGGAAGCACGTGCGCAAACCGCAAAGTGAATGAGAGTATAGTGTCACGGTACGACGTGTAATTTATACAACTTTATACATATTAGAGGTATGAATGTGAGAATAGGAATAGATACTTCGTTAAATTAAGTACCGTGTCGCGTACATGATAAGAATACTCTCTGCATATTACTCCGACATAAATAATATTTTTTTACAAGTCGTCGTCATCGTCGCGTGCGCGTGCGCGAGAGAGCGACCGGTGGACGCCGCGCTGTTCGGCTCCCACCGTCCTCGCACGGCCGCGCAACAGCGACACGCTGAATATTACAATAAATAATAAATAGATCTTGGAGATTCGGTATCCGCTCATAGACATATACACACTTGCACGTTACACAATTATGATTAACGTAGAAAATAAATAGTGAGATATCCGAGAGAGAGAGAGAGAGAGAGAGAAAGTTCCTTCGATTCTCGCTTCAGCGAAGCGTCGTCCGTCGTCTTCTCAGGACCTCGCGATTATATTTAGGAGACACGTCGCGTCTTACAGTGGCAGTAACCTTAGCTTCCTAGTTAAATACCCGTGGCCAGGTATGTACAGTGTACGGTGAACGCTTCTTCTCGTCCGGCGAGCGTTTTATAGATACTATGACGACGAACGCATCGGCATGTCGGTGTCTCGGAGACGAACGGAGGAGGATCCCGCCTTGTACGATCGTAAAGGCCTGTCCAGACAAACTTGCATATCTCACATAACGCGTACGCACGAAGAAATCGGTCCGACCCAATCCGAGTAAATCGTGCGTCTGGTACAGAAGACATCCTTCTGCTGCACGGGGTCATGACTGCTCGATTTTTTAATGCACATGCGAGCGAGCTTGCCTGGACAGACCTTGAGAATGAGAACCACGCGACATCCTTGCGCGCTTTTTACGGCAGTGTACAACGCAAAAATCACCCTTATTGCGGTGTTGAGCGCAAATTTATATAAAATTTACCTAGAACGGACTATTAAATTGATTTATTAAACTTTATCGCACGTTCGATGCGCCGTGGAAGTATTCGGGGGAAGTGTTTCGCGAAGCGGTCAGAACAGTCGGAACTATTCTGCTTCTGTCGGTCGCGCCATCGTGATAGCATTCGAATATAATAGTTCGAAACGACAAAGTCGTCCCGACAGCGCGATGTGTCGCGATGAGAAGAGGTACACGGAAGTGAACGTACAAGAGAGAGAGAGAAACGTCTTCGAGGACAGTTCTTTCATCGAGTGTGCGAAGCGACGCATCGACAGAGAGAGAGTGAGTGAGAGAGAGAGAGAGAGAGCTGCGCGCGTTGTCGCTATAATACTTTTCGTTCTTAAGGTCCGAGCAAGACTATATTGTGTTGCGTTATTCGCTCGAGAGGAAGAAGCGGTCGTCAGGGTGGTTACGAGAGGATGAGAAGAGGGGAAGGAGGTAAGGGGAATGGAGAACCTATCCTAGTCAGCCTTCTGTGTGTTCCCGCTTTGCGTGGTACTTGAGCAGTAGCTGCCGGTCTCCCCGGTACTTGTTGTTAGTGTTTTGGGTTAGAGTCCGTATCCGGTTCAGAACTGGAGCTGGAAGACTCCCCAGTACTAACGTTCGCGCTGCAGCGCGAGCTCCTTCGGCTGCTGGTGCCCGTGTGCCGGCATTTTTCACTACGATCCACTCCACCTACAATAATTTCACGGGAAATGAACACGTTTCACGGTCCGCATTGATTCGAGACAAAGAGCTATTGTTACGTCAAGATATACTTCGGAAGTAACGGCGTTTACGGAGCTGAATTTCCGGGGTTTAACTTTCTATCCTTGCTTCAAGATGTTCAAACTGATAGCTCATTATCCCCAAAAATCATCAGTCAAACTAAATTTAATTATTTTTATGCAATTTAATTAATCTTTAATTTAATTATAATCTTTCTAAGAATACCGTACCGACGTATGTACAGGGTTTCTTATTTTAATCTATTATCCCCTTTTATCTTCGCAAGGTAAGGTCGAGTTAAAAATATATTCGGATAAAAGTTGTAGAGTTCGGAGGGGGACATAAACTGGTGACTTTAACTTCGTTGTATAGCCAATAATTCAAGTTCATTTCAAAGTCTGCTTCACTTTTTTTTTTTTAATGGAATCATATAGTTTTTTTCTTCTAACACAAATTGACTTCTACCTTTATTCTGCGTATAAAAATATTCGGGTAGGATTCTCGAAAAGTATGTGCGAAAATAGAAAGGGAGATAGATTAAAATGGGAGGTACTCTGTATAACATATTTATAATTGTAAATAAACGCTTTTAATTCAAATATCGTCGGCAATGATATAAGGAACATTGCTGTGAATTAATATATACAACATTCCACAACAAGGAAAGGAAATATAGTGTCTGTACGTTGTACAGACACTTAAAGTCACTTGAAAATGAAATCAGTTTCCTCCGACTTGAATCGATTCGTTCCCCAAGAGATTGCGTTAAAATAAAAAAAAAAACTCGAAAAAGGTTGCATGACGTGTAATCTCTACGACACTCGGCCGCGACTTTGCATGCGTGTTAGCGGCAAGAGAAGCGCACTTCTTTAAAACTTCAGGATCAGAGGTGTCTCTCATGGGAATCGGCCTTGCATACTCACTGGTCAACGGTGTGTGAACCTCGACCTTAATGTTCGCCGTCGCGGTGACCTTAGTGGTGATGTGCGACGTGGACGGAACCGGCGACGTTTGACTAGACCCACTCGTGTCCGATCCGCTACAGTTCTGTTAGTCGAAATGAAAAAGGAGAACACGCTCTCGTTAGTCATGCTCGAGAAGAGAAAAACAAAACCGCGGAGAAGCGGCGACGTCAGCGACGCGGCTTCTGCCAACACGTTTTCCATGCTGATCGACAAGTCGATCGCAAAAATGAGGCGCGACTCGGAAATGTCGGCAGCGAAACGCACCTGATTGCCGCACGTCGACGTGGTCTCGACTTTGACCTCCGGCTGGACGATGATGCAGGACTCCTGTGTGCTGTGCCACGAGTTGGGCTCCTCGGTGATGGTCGTGAGCGACGGCTCGGCGTGCAACCGGGCATTGTCGATCCTGTGCGATCGCCTGGGCGGCGCAGGCGGCTTGGACCTCCTCACGACCGGCGACGGCGGCGGCGTCGGCGTCGATATGCGGTCCGGATGCTCGTGCGGCACCACCTCCGCCGATGGCCCGATCAGAGACAGCAAAATCGGGAAGAAGAAGATGCCGTTGACCAGGCCGACGCCGATTAGGCAGAGCAGCACGAGGAAGAAGTAATTGACTATGAAGTCGAACTCAGAGAAGGCGAGCATCGACACCGCGAGCAACGTCGTGAGCGCGCCGTGGATCACCGGCGCGTACATGTGCTCCAGAGCTAAACGCATCCTACGGTCCCTGCTGCCTACGCTCGTGACGAAACTCTGGAAGGAATTAGCTCGGTATCAGCGAACGAGGCCGCGAGGATCGTGCGGAACCGAAGTTATGAACGCGCGAGAAGAGTACGGAAGTATCAGACGCGAAGTAATTACGCGTTGAACATAACAGTTTTCACAATATAATGAAATTATAGTTTCATTTATATTATAATACTACATAGTATAATATCATGAAATTATATATCATAATATATATGTGGTATATAACATTAATAAAATAGTATACGATATAGCATCGTATATAACTATATGATATTATCTCGTAACGTCGATCATCTGAGATTATGATATTACCGCGCATCTCCTTAAGTTACTTATAAAGTACAGTTGATCGCATTTGAAGAATCAGTTGCGCGGCCAACAGAGAGCCGATGGAATGGGACGAAAGGAATATTTCTCAACCTCGAATTACATCCATTTTAGTACCTATTTTTAATACTTCGATCATCGCTTAAAATCATCAACTTTTCTGCCAAGATCGCCGGTAACCAACATTCTTTTCCGCCGAACTGGCACTAGCTGGTACTCTTATCCTCTTCCTTCCACCGAGTCTTAACTATATCTTTGAATTTCTACAAGTCTACACTAGTTCGGCGAAAAAGAACAGAACCTAACATCAGCAGCTCGAGCAACTAATCCAAAAGCTACACTCACCAGGCAAATGTGCACCGTGAAGTGAACGGCGATGCCCACGCTGACCACCAGCAGCACGGCCGGCACGGCGCTCAGCTTGACGTCGCACAGGCCCATGATGCCCAAGAGCTGGAGAACAACGGCCGCCAGAGAAGTGCCGACCATCAGCGCGGCCCACAGATTCAACAGCAGCACGCCGACGACCACCACGCTCGTGCCCAGCGCGGCCAGGAGAGCGAAGCCCAGGCAGCTCCTCAGATCCATGTACTGCTCCCAGAAGAGGAAAGGTATGCCGGACGGGAAGTTGGGCAGACCGCGTTCCTCGAACTTCCGGCAGAGGTTGCGCACGTTGGAGATCAGCTCGGTGATTTCCTGCGTGTCGGTGAGCTTGTGCAGGTAGAACGGCATCTGCGCGTACGTGAGCGGCATGCTCTTCGGGATCTTGAGCTCATGGTCGTTGGTGTAGATCCACTGACGGGGCTCGGGCCTGAGATTTCCCTGGGAGGCGCCGTAGGCGAGCGCGTCGTTGGACGCCCAGGCGCTCAGATAGTTGTAGAAGGCGCGTGGGTTGATGATGCCGTCGGAGTCCACCAAACGCACCTGCGTGATCAGCGTCTTGTCGATCGGGTTGTCCACGTAGCCGGTCTGCACGAGCAGCTTGTACGCCAAGATCGCCTCGTCGCTTGCATTCTGGTACCACCTCTCCTGCGTGATGCAGCCGCTGTTGTAGTCCTTGTCGAAGGCCGTCTGCAGACCCTTGAGCCAGTCGCGGAAGAGACCGAGCCAGAACTCCGGCAGGCCGCCGTTGTCGTTCTTGATTACGTTCTTGATGCGCATGAACGCGTCGTGGTACTCGTACAGCAGCCGCTGGTTGTTCGGGTACTCGAAATCCCGGCCGGTCACCGCGTACATGTTGTAGAAGCCGAAGTGCTTCGCCTGCGCGGCCAGGAACGCGTACTCGTTCGAGTTCTGCGGCACCAGGTCGGTCAGGTCGAGGCCGTCGCGCACGCGCAACGCTTGCCACATGCTGCCGGCCAGCACGCCCGCCAAGACCATCATGCCGAACACCTTGGTGGCCGGTCTGCTGATGAAGGGCGCGTAATACCTCGCCGCGAGCTGCGTCAGCGAGAAGCTCAGGCAGTCATCCTGCGAACAGCCGGTCAGCGCGTCCTCCTCGGTGCACTGCTTGTCCAACTCCACGTCGATGCTTCCACCTATCTGTAACAGACGAGCGACGAGGGGATGCTTAGAAAAGCGTGTTTCGCTCTCGCTGACGAAGCGCTGAATTTGTTGTTTATTTATTATTTCCGCGTGTGGTGGTGCTCGAAGCGGGGATACGACAGCATCGATCTGCCCGATTTTGCCCCGAAGTAGTCCGGAGCCAACGAAAAATCTGTCTCGACATCGCCCACATCCCGTATTCAAGAGATTTTAGACCGATGCATCATAAAACTTCACTCCAACCACGTACACTGTTCGACAAACCCGATTCCGTTATAATCTTTTTCTTCGGTTTTTGATCATTTGAATGTAATAATAATAATATATTGTTGTTTTATTATAATAATTATTATAATATAATATTTTATTATAATAATGACATATATGGTAAAATAAGTTTATATATATATATATATATATATATATNACTTGGGCAATTTTATCCCTTACCCAGGACTCATTCTGCGCGTTCTGCGACGTCAGGATCTGCGTGCAAGTCTCTCGTCGCTCAGGCGGTATCGCCCTGGTGACCGTTTGCTTGGCCGTGCCGTTGTTCTTCGCGGAGTATCTGTTCTTGGCGGAGTTGGGCGCCGCCGGCAGGCAGCAGCAGAGAATATCCGCTCGTCCGGAACGCCTGCGGCGCAGATCCAGGCTGACCATCGCGGGGAACACCAGCAGCATGGCGGCCAGATTGAACAGCAGTAGGATACCGGCCTGCAGGCAAAAGACTCGCAGAGCCGGGATCGGGATTAACGCTGCCGCGAAGAAGGCGGAGACATTGCTCAGCCCCGTCAGCAGCACCGACAGGCCGGTTCTCTTGAGGACGACTCCGGTCTGCTCGCCACTGGGCACCTCGTTCACCGACAGCTCGGCGTACGTGTGCGTCAGCAGGAACATGTCGTGCACGCCCAGGCCGAGCGCGAGAAACGGCACTATCTGCGTCGTGGCGGCGTTGAACGGGATTGCCAAGAGCGCGCAGAAGCCCAGCCCGGCGGCCACCGTCGCGCACACCAACATCACGCCGGCTATCGCCACCCCGGCCTGCGAACGTACCGGATCCTTCCAACGAAGGAGCGCCACTCCCGCGTATACCAACTGGAGTGAAAAATACACGTGTACGTGGTCACTGTGTATATAATTAAACAATTCTAAGATTCTTTTCAAATTAATTATCCTATTAATATTATTTTTGAGATGAGAAATTAATATTTGAAATAAAAAGTTGCTTTTTTATCGTAACGAATATAATTGTATTAAAATAATTATATATGTATGTACAGCTCACATAATTATTTAATCAGTCTAATTAATCTAATTTAATATTATTCTAATTTAATATTATTCTATCTCAGATATATTTTAGATTTATATTTGGGGGGGGGGGGTATTTTTTAGATCCATGACTCCAGTTCAAATATAAACCAATTGGTCAATTATCAAAAGTTAGTTCTAACCATGAGCACGCATCCGATGACGATCTTCATGACGGACACCTCGCTGTACTTCCCGAGGATGTCGTTCATCGTGGTCGTGCTGAAAGCGTACAGATTGTAGGGCGTCGATCCGTTGGCATCCAGCACCTTCTTCACCTCGTTGCTGAACGCTCTCTGCCAAGTCTCCAGCACCTGGGCGGCCTTCTCTTGCGACCAGTCTATGTGATGGACCTTGTAGGTGTTCGCCAGGAAGTCGTACAGCTCCCGTTCTCCCATCAACTGCACCACAGTCTGCAGAGCGGCCGCCCGGGTCAAGTGGCCCGTTTTATTGTGCTTCGCACCGCCGACCACCAGCTCTTCTGGCCAATGCATGTACTTGGCGGCGAATCCATAGCAGCCCCCTGTCAGTTCGGATCCTACGTCGGGTATCTGTTGCAGAGAGAAGAGATGACGTTGAACATCGAGTGAAATCAAATTTCGATTCCGGGGCGACGTTGACGATATATATCGCAGCTACGCTCTATTATCGCGGCGATAATAAGACGACGATTTCCGGGGCAAAAAACGAGACAAAGAGAGAAGAACCCTTTTTTTTTCTTTATCCATCCGTCACCTCGACGACCGTCGCCTCTCTCACCCTTCCGCGCATTTTGTTCTTCACCGGTGAGTTTTTCAAGCGTGACCGAAGGCAGAACCGTGTCAAGTCACGCCAGGAATTCCACCGGCAAAGAATTATTACAGGTGGCTCGAGCGATGTTCTTTCTTATGGGGTAGCCGGGGGTGTCGTAGACCCCACAGGGCGAGATTTTATGGGGGCTCTATATAAAAGAGCATACCGCCCCCGTGACTCCGGGCTTCGGATCTAACCACTTGGCTGGACACTGTCCTTTATATCGCGCGAGAATAAACGAGAAATCCCAGCAATGAGGAATAGAACGGTTGATCGGCGGGGATTGTTGTCGCGAGGGTATTTCCAGCGAGTCTTTCAGTTTCCAATTACTGCGTTACGTTCGAGTTAGAAATACAAATGTCGCAGAGGAGTCACACAATCGATAATACAAGGGGACTAATTAGGATAAATTAAAGCCCTGCGTGGGCTTTACAGTGCAAAAGCATTGTATCCTCAATCAATCTAGTCAAGGAAAATTATACAAGTCCAAATCTCGCGGGGGAGAACCAATTAAGGGAGGAAGGGAGGTTTGAACTTGCGAAGAGTCGATGAAATTCAACTCGTTATTATAGCTATAAGGATCAATCGAAATCTCGTAGGTTATTTATACTACGTACCAACGATAAAAATATTTTTGTTCGTTCTTGAGTTATGCAAAATCACAATACATATCGCAGGATAAATCGGGCTGCTGCAGCTTCATATGTTAATATTTTTCTAATTTCTCACATTCGTATTCTTATCATTAATACATAATATAAATAGCCTATGAAAGGATATCGCATTCAATTAATTTCTATATCTGCACAGTTCAATGAGTTAAGTTTTACCGACTTTTCGCAAGAGATCAAACCTCTCGGCCTCCTTTAAATTTACACAACACCGCTCTCGCCGATTGCCATTAGTTTCGCTCGTGTAAAATAAACGAAACGACAGGTGATATCGCATAAGAACACACGAGGAAGAAAAAAGATCCCAAGTGGCGGGCCATCCAACGTCCAATCGAGTCGGAGGCACGTCACATCGAGTGCCGCTGCATCGGAAACATACAGGCCCAGGTATATAACGCAAAGGCATACCAAATAAAGCCACCGTCACGCGCGCGCGACCCACCGTCGAGGTCCCCGATTGCACGCGTGATTCAAATCGGACGCCTCGCACCTGGCCCGGCCTGTTATGTAATTCCACGAACGAGTCCGTAGAAATGTAATCGCGCTGCTGACCACACTTTTCGCGCTCTCGCGGCCGTCAGTGTGTATTTAAGGGAAACACGGGGTGGAAATACCACAACTCCGCCTCCGTCATTGGAAGAGCCCAGTCACTTGTACGCCGAACTTCGAGACGCATCGAAAATTTAACTCCCGCAAGAGAATTGTTAAGAAACAAATTCCCCTATTAGTCACAAATATGTCGTGAACAATTCATTAAAATATAAAACTCACTAGAAATTAACGCATTTAAATGTGAAACGCACAAAAAAATGTATCTTATTGCTATGTAAAACACATGAAAGAAGTTCCAATCTAACGTCCACTTTAATTTCGAAGAATAAATTGAAATATCGACAATACATAAAATTCGATTTCTGCCAATTGTATATAATTGCATTTATTATATATAGCACTACGAAACCTATGCTTGGCTCTTCATGGCCTGATATTGTCAATTTTTTTTTAAAGAGCCTATTAATAACACAATTTTATAAAAAAAAAGTGCTCCAGCTCTTCAGCCACTGATTACATATATGCATAAATATACCTTGCAATCCCTGCTTTCATTTTCGAATTAGACAGCCGATCAAGCCGCCCGCAGCTACATTCCGAATATTTCGAGTCTCGCATGCGTGCCGTCGCGTGGCCATTGAGCGCAATTACTTTGAGTACGAGAGCGCGCATACCTGTGTGAAAATAGCAATAGGCGCGCGCGCGCGTTAGAGAGAAAGAGAGAAGGAAAGCCGATGCGAGCCCGTCGATGTTAATGCACACACGGGAGAGCGCGGCGATGCGATTCACGTTGTGCACGTGTCGGGGTATACGCCGGTCGTGCGTATGTTAATGACACCGAAATGACGGCGGTCGCGTAATACGATGCGAGCGCGCGCGCGTGTGTGTGGGGGTCCGCGCGAGCGCGCGCGCCGGGGCATACCCTCGGCGACCACCGGCGAAGCGCAATAATGACGCACGTCGCTCGATTTTATTATTTTAATGGGCCGCCGTGCGCGACCCACGCGACTCGCATACTCATCGAGCATTTCGCGCAGGAATCGTGCGCTTTCGTACAGTCGGCGTCGTGTATTCGTTCCGCGGCTCAAAAATTACACAGTTCTTGGCCTTGTATATTGTACACGTGAAGTCAGGACCGTTATAATTAGAGTTATTTTAACCTTATTATTGTAATTAGAGTTGCCTATAAGCGATTTTCAACCTTATGGGTAGTATATATAAGGTTGAAAGTCGTGTAACTTTGTGTCTAGGGGATGGCACAGCCCGAGTATATGTATGTATAAAGAGTGCTTTTCATTTAGTGACTACAAATCGACATAAGCGTCAGCTTATCTTTGTTTCTTATCGTATGTGAAGCAAAGACGATATGATATTTGTATCGACATCTATAGTCGGGGAGAGTAAAAAGATAGTAGCTGGCTAGTGCAGGCTAGATTACATTTTCTAGCTCGTCACTGGTTCGTTGCTGCCTGATTATTCGCTAAAATGTAGCATCGGCTTTGCAGCCTAGGTGTTACATATCAAATATGATAGGATAGATGACGCTGTCTATTCTAAAATATATACTTCAGCTACTGTATGCCTATTAGCATTCAAAAGTAAAGTAGCAAATCAGAACTGAAGATACGTTATTCCATAAATATCTTAAAAAAGCGGAAGTGAGCGTTACATCACCAACCGGTTATGACTTTCCATCTCGTAACTGTAACTTCGTTTGTTTGACCACCAGCTAACTTATTTACCTAACTATTATCGAATCACTAGGAAAAGTGAGCGTTACATTACCGGCTAACAACGACGTTAGACACAAATTTACTACCTCATGGCTAGACACCCACGAAGTTCAATTTCTATTAAAGAATATACATGACGTCGAGTGTACGTCCCTTACTTCGCCCGCCCGTCTGTTCTTTCGAGTCTGTCTTACATTGACAAGTGTATATTTGTGTGTATATTTGTATGTGTGTGTGTGTCTACCCCTTCTCCTCATCTTATCTCACTATCGCACGGAAGCCGTTTTGACGTCGGCGCAAGTGACATTTATTCCAACAAGACGCGTCTCGCTCGGGGGAAGGGCAATTCAGCGTTTCCCAATCGAGCGGTTAAATATTCATTCCGCTGTCTGCGGAACGCAGACTGGACATCAAAGCGAGTCGATGCGCTCACCGGTCGCGTATACGTACTAGTGTGCACATGCTGCGCGCGCGTAACCGGTCATCGTATCCGCCGAAGAATCCTAAGTGATCACTCGTTATTCCCGACGAATAGCGAGTCCCACCGGGCGCGAATGTCACCCGGCGATGGTCTCCATGTTATTCTCTTCGTAGCAGGCTTCTTTCGTGCGACCTATGTTCGTCGAATTCGCGTGAACGTTGACTGAATTTATCCGTGTTCAATGAAGCAACGTAAACGTTCACGACGACCATTCGCTACTGGGCAATCATGAGTGAACAAATCGCTGAGAAATCAGTCGGCGTATCGAAGCTTCTGTCACATCGTATTCGGGGAAAATTGACTAGTGCGTCGAATTTCGACTTTTACCTGAATTGACAGTAGAGTGGAATTCACAGTCGCTGCAATCGAGCTAATTCGAATAACACGATTCTCTCATGAACTTGTTCAGAGGGGAACGATCGAGAGAGAGAGAGAGAGAGAAAGAGAGAGACAGAGCTCTCGTTTCGGGCGAAGAGAACGCGAACACGCCAGCGGAGATTTTACCTGTTGGGATTTTTTGTTAGGCGCGGTTTCTGGGCATTCCGGATCCGCAGGATTCAGACACGGCTTGCTCTGATAGCCGTTCGTTATTCCGGCCCTCTTCATGTAGTCCTCGAGCGTTTTGAAGGGAAACGCGAACTGCAACTTCTTCATCTCGTTCAGCATGCCGGAAGGATTCAGGTTCGTCCATTGAACGGGCTTCTTGTACACCCCACTGCTCAACCGAAAGAAAGATCTGAATGATTTCGTCGGACATTCGTCGTATGTGAAGATTAAGAGATGTCGTGTCAACGTGCCCAGACCGTGAAAATTAACCTGTTAGTAGCCACTGATTGGCGGACGTTCTTAAGTAAAACACCAGGGGTCTCGGTTTAGTATTAGAGATATAAACGGAAACTGCCACCTTTTACAGATATGAACGGAAATTCGGCGCTGAAAGGGATAGAATTACACATCGATCGAATGACTTTAGACGATAACACGGAAGCGTCCCGCGTAAACGGGGTAACGGCCAACTGATGGGTTAAGTACCGACACCGATATGTCAGTATCGTGCGAAAATACTCACGGTATATGAACGGGATATTCCGGACCTAGGAGTTGGCTACCTTCCCAAAAGCAGTCGAGGGGCGTGATGATGGCACATGGTATAATACTGTCGAAAATCTGCAAACAGAGAAAAGAAAGAGAGAGGTGAGCTATTCGCCGGGGAGGTGAAAAACGCATCTTAGTGGCTTGTTTCTCTTTCGATTACCGCTACCGCTGTTATTACTACTACCAGTACTACTACTATCGCAACTACCACCACAATTTTGCAAGGGAACGCGCTTCATGTAACGCGCGCGCAAAAGGGAGCAACCGCGAGAGGGAATCGCCGCGCGCGCAGACCGGTATTTACGGTGCGCAACACGCGTTTGCGTATAATGACGACGGAGGAGGAAGGGGATGAGGAGGGGCCGGACCACACCTGACACGGTGCGTCCGTACCGCAACGGGACACCGCGCGCCGCGTCATTACCGGACGCTAATTGCTCGTTCTCGGCCCTTCGCCCTTCCTAACCTCGCCCCGCGCAGTATGCAACCGATACGGCGCGTGCACCTCCGCGCGCGCGCGCTTGCATACGTAAAGGCGCATTTGCATCTCGAGAGAGTGGATCGAGAGCGGGTCTTCCTCTTCTCGTCCGCGTATCTCGGTAGATTTGCATTCGATCGCTGAATCTCCTCGCACCTGTCGGATCGGTATTCCTGTTTTTTTTCCCCCTAGCAATACGACGTATACATCGAGTCGAAGTTTTTCAGAGACAAGGAGAAAACTACAAGGAAGAATTTTTCTGGAAAAATGTGCAACGGACTTTTCACCGTCATTGAGACTAGAAATATATTGCTGCCGCTATTTAGGCTTATTTATTTCGTTTGATTAATTTCGATCTGACGTTTCCGACGAGATTACAAAGGGATTAAACCAGCGAATTACTTTACGAGCGACAAAGATGAGAACCTGTTCCGACAAATGCGCATTGCAAATACGATAGGATTGCCTTTCAAATTAGCATTCAGGCGGATATACTCTGGCGGATCGAAGTGTTTGAACAACGTCTAGATGCAAGAGGTATAATCTAAGATAATCTTATCCCCAAGTCGGATGTGAAGCGCGCGAGGGTTACGAAAGAACGTAGCGCGCGCGGACCGCCCTATTCGAGTTTCCTGGAACTCGAAGGTGGGCTCTCGTAATGGCCTAGTACCCAGAAAAACCGTGTGACGATCGTTATTGTCGGCGTCGGGGTATTAGCCGGATCAAATTTTGTTTACCGCCGTATACAAAGTAATCTTCGCTCGTCTTACATTCTTTTTTTGCACTGGTAAACGAGACCATTTTATCGCGACTGAAAAATATTTCTTCGAATCTCAGGATTCCGGCTACACACGATACGAAAATAATAATGCGCACGGGAGAAAAACGAAATCGGGTAAAAAGTGTCAAATTTCAGGGTTGCAGAGAGAAGTTTCTCGCACGAATTGCAATCGAGTCGAAGTTGAGTAAAAATCGAATCACATCAACGGTCTGACGTAACAATTTGAACCGCAAAATATACTATGTACGATGCTGAAACTGTAAGATCGAGTAATTGAATCAATTCGATTGCTTCGATTCGAGTAAAACGAATTTGCTTTAATTGCTCTTTTTTTTAATATATTCACGATCTTCGAGACAAGTGTGACGTATAAAATATACACACAGAGAAAAATAACTCAGAGCAAATTTTTTATATTGTAATAAATAAATAAATATATAGGGTGTTTCTTAAGTAAACAACAGAAAAAAGTTTCTTTGGATTTAGTATAAGTGTTTATGTAACTTAAGTTTGTTTATAAACAACATAATTAAATAACATAATTTAATAAAATACTATTTTTTTTGAGTGACAATATTTCATTAGAATAACCATGTTATATGATAGAAAAAACTATTATTTAGAAGAAATATTTCGCTTTCAATAAAAAAAAAATGTATTTTATTATATATTACATATTTGTTGTACGGCAACAAAGATCTTTAAAATTATAAACTTATATTATTCTTTTCAAATAATTTATTTCTTGTAACAATCATAAAGTTTAGATGAAACTACAAATAAAATATGTCATTTGACATAAAGATATTTATTGTTTAAGAAACTAAACAATTCTGTTTGTGGAATCAAACATTCGTTTATTCGTTCTATTCCAAAAGACAAATTTGTTTCAATTCAAGAGATTTTATTAAATCCAAAAATATATTTTCTCTATGTATCGTTCAACATTTTAAAAGTTAATTATCGTGTTTTGTGAAGAAATTAATATATATTTATATAAATTTTTCCTTTTTATATAAAATTTTCTCAAAAATCAACTCTTAAAATACTGGACAGTATTAAAAAAAACACTCTATATATTTATTTGCTATGTCAACAAAATTTACTATTCCCTCGAATTATTTTTCTCCGTACAGATAAAATTACACATAGTATGCAAGTGTATATTAGTGTATATAACGACGGCCAGTTTCAAAGGAATACTATCTTGAATACCTGTAATCGCAGAGAAACCTCTCTTTCTCTCCCTCGTCCCACTCTCCCCTGCCCTTCTCACTCTATGAACATTCGTAGACAGCCGCGTTCTTGGCCGTGAATACGTTTCGACGGGGAGTAAAAAAAAAAACAGACTCTCGCGCGAAACACGTTTATAATGTCCCGGAAGCAGCCGGTCCCGGGCATCGTTCGCGAGGGGACCTCAAGAAATCGTGTTTTCCTTCTCGAAATGCTTACCATCGCCACCACGCTTCTCTAACGCGCTCGCTCGTTTACTTGCGCGCTTACTGCACGAATGCAACGTACACGTGCGTACGCGCAAATTACACGTACTATTTCGCAATGATGTAATCAATGGTCACCGACCGATGGTCGAACAATTTTCCTTTTATTGTCTACATGGCCAAAAAGATTTTCAAAACGTTGAACCCGTGTTAGACCACATATTATCGGGTACCGAAGATTGCAAACCGAAGAATTTCGAACTTGATTGATCGGGTCGAAGCGAGCCGAGATCGAAATTAGTTGATTCTAATTTCTAATTAGAAATCTCGAAAATTAGCCGGATTCTAATCTCCAATCGGTCATACATCATTAATCTCCAATTAATCTCCTAGTCTGACACGGGTTTTATTAGACAATAAATTTCATTCATCGTTCTTCACCGACCGACATCGATCAACAACAAAGGCCACTTATCGTCCAGGGTTAACGGACACGTCGCGCATGTGTCACGTGCGCGCATCGATGTCTCCGCTAGAGGTCTAATGGGAGCGCGAGACGGTGCGTACATACGCGCGCGCGCGCGCGCACGCCATTCATACGGTATGCGCTCGCGCGTGCACGCATACCTGTCGTGAGTACGTACGCGTCGCGTACGCGCGTTTCAATTACCTGGTCGATGTAGTGCAGGTCGAAGTTGGGTATGCTCGGCGCGTAACACAAATCCTTTAGTCTCCACGTGCTGCAAATGACAGATGCGTACGCGTCAGTATGAGAGCTCGCGTCATTTCGTAAACATGTAAATGCTGTTTTAGCGCGACTCTATTTATTCTCTGAGTTTCTTGGAGCGAAATCTCTCTCTCTCTCTCTCTCAAAAGAGACTCTTTTGAGAGAGAGAGAGAGAGAGAGAGAGAGAGTTCGAAACGAGCGAAAAGCTCGTTCTCAGCAAATGTGGAGCGGCACAGATTCAGTTTTTTTCTTATTTTGAATGTAAATATTTCCTCGACATTTCAGAGCAAAGAATTCACTCGTATATACTCGACATCGAATGATTTGACCGTCGCTTTACTTTTCGAGTAGGATTTTACTCGGAGAGAAATTTGAGAAAGAATCTTCTCTAAATTTCTTGGAGTGAGATTTCACTCGAAACAAACGAAAACTCGCTCGAATCGATCGCGAAAAAACTGCCGCTCGCAAACCCTATGTTTTTAACTCAAACATAAGAATAAAAATATTCATTCGATTATTCAAAATAGAGAAAAAATTCATTCTATATGAATGAGTTCTCTACTCAATTTCGAGCGACTCTCAGTCGTCACTCTGCTTTTCGACATCTCGATTTTTCTTGTCCGGAAAGAAACGTCTCCTCGACGCAACAGGTGAACATATCCCGCATCTTTTTGCACCCGGCGGCTCATTTACATCGCCGTTACGTTAAATAATCTAATCGCACCTTAATTGGCCCGGTTTTCAAATTAAACAACAACGCGTGCGCGTGGAATCGATACTCCTTTTCCGTATTCAAATGAGAAAGCGCAGAGAAGTAGGTAGGTAGGCAGGTAGGGGTGGGCAGAGTCGTCGGCAACCGGGAACACTTACATCTCAAACAGGTGCACCTTAACCTGCGTCGCAGCCTTCAGAACCGTCAAATGTTCCCTGAGCGCGGTCGGATGCAAGATATTCGCCCCGGAATGCCTCGGTGTCTGGATGACGAGCTGGTGCGTCGATGCGGCGGCTTCACCGAGAGCTTCCGAGGCATAGGTCAGCTCTTTCTGTAACCTTCCTCCTTCTGCAACAGATCGAATCGCGAGCGAGTTCATCTATAAATTTATCCTTATCACAGTTGTTCGTTGAGTTCGAAATTAATGGGTTTTCATTGTAATCATTTTAATATACCGAAATCTTCGATTTTTTTTTTAATATTGATCGCGTATCTGCTCCACTTTATATCGACGAAAGGGAATCCTTCTTCAACGTCCTTTTGCTTCTGAATCTACCTCTTACTATTAACGGGAGAACAATTTCAACAAATCGCTCTCGAAATCTCCTACCTTTCGATGTTGGTCTCACATACCCCCTTCCCCTTTCTCATCAACGAGAGGGATCGTTCGTCGACGTCCTTTTGCTTCTGAATCTTCCTCTCTCTTAATTCGAGGCTGACGCGGGAGAAGGATCTCACGAGTTCACGTGCTCCTTCGCGCCGGCCGACTTTGAGCCTGCCGACGAGCGATGTTCGCGAGACCGTCGGGGTTCCCCGAAGGAAAAACATCGGAGACAATGTCGTAGCGCAAGTTTCTGCGATTTCGAAACAACTGAAGTTCCCGTGCGAAGTCTGCCGATAGAACGTGTCCCGAAACGGTCTCGAAAATAACGGTTCGACACGCGGTGAAGGAAGCGAAGTTTCGACGACGACGTTCGATAAACAAATCGCTGACAATTTATTAGTTACCAGAGAAGGGGGATTATTATCCTCGAAAGCGGGCGTGCAAGCGTCCGTGCGAGTTGACTTCGCTTTTTGCAGGACGTTTGAAGAAACGGGACGAGAAGTGCGTCTTCTCTCCACGGAGGAGGAGGAGGAGGCCAACGACGAAGACGACGACGCAGCGTACGCGCGCGATTTAAAGGAGCATACGGCTACACGTACGAGCAGTAGTAATGGACGAGGGGCGCACGAGAATGACGGCCGTTGCGCGCAGGGTACCCTGGTATCCCACCTAGTCAGATTTCACCGTCAAAAATGCCGACGGCGTATTTGCTCGTTCCGCCACGACGCGGTCGCCGTGGACCACCCGTATTGCTCGCCGGCGCGAAAGTGGTTCTCAAACGCGGCGAACTCCGCCGTCGTGATCTTCCTGGGCGATATCGAGCCTGATCAAAGGGAGCGGGGCGACACGCGTGTTCCGCGTCTCCGACGAGCGTCTTAGTGACGTGACGGATTCCAAGGATCTACCGGGAGAAGAGGATCCCACATCCGGCGGAAGTGAGATCGCAGTCGGCTGCGGAGGGGACGACACCTCAGGAGGCGAAGCATCGAGAGGAACGAGAGACTCGCACATTCCAGGTTCCGGTTCACTCACTGCGTGAGGACGCGGCAGCTCTTGAGCGTGAACGGTGCTGCGCCGGCTAATTAGCGTTAATCCAACCCGACGAGCTCGATCCTACTGTCAGTTACATTCTCCGGCGCTCAGCCAGTGAAGTTCGCTATTGACTAAATAATATGCACCTGTCAATCGCGAGATGTCGGTCAACTTTAATGGCGATAACGGTGCGCGCAACGAGGACGTATCTTTCTTCGAAAAACCGCGTTATCCGGCGGCATTGAAACCTCCTTTCCAAACTTAGAAGGCGGACCTGGGAACGTGTGAGGGTGCGTGGGAGAGACGACGACGACGACACACGTCCGTCAGCGCGACGGACTCCGGTGACGTAACGCGTGTCGAGAGCTCGTGAATTTGTGAGTCGGCCTGTAGAATGCGGCCGAGCACCGAGCGTAATAAAGACACTACTCTCTGCTCTACGAAGCAAGAAACGCGTGGCTTAACGGTGGAAAGCGGCGGAGAAGCAGGAGGAGAAACAGAGAGAAAGACGGAATGAGACAAGGGCGGTTGGGGAGAAGAGAGGTGGGAGGGAGAAGGAGAGAGAAATAGCGAAAAAGGGCATCACCGGCGACGAAGAGGACGCTTAGAGGAAGAAGGGAGGAACACGGCGAGTAGGGTACGGGAGAGAGAAAAGAGAGAGAGGGAAGGAGAGAGTGAGTGAGTGAGTGAGTGAGTGAGTGAGAGAGAGACGGCGAAAGAGCACCAGGCTTGATTTATCGACGTGGCGTCTCTGTAATTATTTCTCCGTCCCTGTCTCGTTCGCAGAGGGCGAGCTTCACTCCGCCGGTCTATCCGCACCCTTCCGGCTACCGTGATCGCAGCCGTACATTCGCGCGAGCGAGGCAGCATCTCCTCCGCGTCCGTTCGTTCGTCGTCCAGCCAGAGCGAGCTCTCTCCGGGGCACCCTTGAATGGCCGCGTCGTCTTTCAGTTCTGTCGGCGCGTCTCATTCACCATTCCACCTCTTCTTCTATTGTTTTCGCGAACTTCCCGCATCCTGGAGGACGACGATAAGACGGCGGGCCCGCTCGCAGGGGGACCAGCATACTCGGATCCGCCACCACCGGCAGTTCCTCACGCCCGACAATGTCCGATTTCCTGACGAGTTTGCGTTTCGCTCACTGTCGCTGCTGTCGAAGTTTCCTCGAGTTCGGCATTACGAAGTTCTTCAGGGTCAGACCAAAGCAATCATCGACGTTAATACGATATTTTGAACCGTCTAACGACCGCATCTTCCAATTACAGAGAGAAAGAAGGCGGCCTATTAGGCCGGGGATAACGATTTCGACTTGATCATTGGGAAGCGATTGATATGTCCGATCGTAAATCGATGTCCGGCCAGATCGAGGGTTCTCGCGTAAGAGGGAAATGAGAGAGATAGAGAGAGAGAGGGAGAGAGATGCGCGAGTCCTCCTTCTCTCTCTGGCGATATGGAAGCAGGTGCATACAACTTTTCCATTCTCGCTTCGTTCGCTGTCTCGCACTTTAAGCCTTATTTCGTTTCAGACGAATCATCGAGCCGCCGTTACGGCGTATAGATATGAATTGTCGTGTAACGCTGCGTGCGTGAATTCGCAATTTAATGATGTAACGAATATCGGGTTTCCGCAGAATGTTCCTTGTAATGCGCAATGCCCACTCTCTAAATTCCTCGGAGTGAAATCTCACTAAGGATGAAAAATCGCTCGAGGGGACAGCGAAAATGCAGCCACTGGCAATCACAAAAGTGAACGTTCGACTTAACAGTGGAAGAGGAATCGTTAAACGCTCGTTTTAGAATTGGTGTCTTTCCTATATTCTAAAAGATCCATTTTCTACAATTTCTCTACCATTGTTGAGTTTTTCTTACAATAAGTACGCAAACGAAGCTCGAGCCAATTTAAACACGAAAATGTCAATAGACCGTTTGTGATACAAAATTTTTTATTGTGTATTATCACTGATCTATAGTAACACTTATTACAAAAATGGTTCTCTCGGCTACAACTTTTTCACTATGTTGATTATAGTGAAAAGTCTGAAAAATTTCCCTCACATTCTACTTTCCGAGTGAAATTTCACACAGAGAAATTCGGAATACCTTTTTCCCCCAGAATTAAAATTTCAACCTGAGACGCGCGTACTTCGGTTTTGCAAGCATGAAATTCGACGGCAAATTACACGGGAAATGATTTCCCTACGCGCGATAACGTAAGCACCGCTCGGCACGCACGTCCGAGCACCTTAACGCGCGCGCGCGCGCCCCGTTATCGTCCCAATTATTTACTCGACATCGCGAGATCGCGTCGCTCGTCGGGACGAATCTATTCATCTCCGGCTGGCGCGCGGGCGCGGACAGCTTTATGACGTGTGAAAATATAAGAAGCACGTGTTGCAGCTTCGTTAGGGGTCCTTGTTCCCGCGACACGCCCCGCCTGCCTGACTGGTGCGCGCGGCGGCGGTTTGTGTCTCGGAGGAAACGCTTAGAAATTCTTGCGTGTGAAGAGAACGCGCGCCTACATATCCTCCTCTTCCCTTCCTCCCCCCTCCCCTTCCGCTGGCTGCAGCTTTCCTTTCCGTGTGATTAACGAGCGGTTCCTCGCGGCGGCGTTCGATTCCTCGTTTCCTACGACGCCCAGCTCTCGTCGCCGAGGTTTCCTCGAACGCGGCGGGCGGGAAGGGCAGGGCACGTTGATCGACGCGCGAATTAAGATCAGGTATAGATTAGGATCCATCGGGGAAAAGTGGGGACCCACGGATAAAGCACACGTAAAGCCCGTGTCGTGCCGGAGATTGCGGATTGTGGATTGGAAATTAGAGCTCGACGAGTCGACCAGTTTCGATTTTGGTTCGCCTTGGTGGTCCCGATCGGTCCAGTTCCAATCTTCGATTCGCAAGCCTCGATCTCCGAATATCTGGTCTAACGTGGGCTTTAAAGCGCGTGTGATCCAGTTTCCTGGCTCCGGAGCGAGTTTCTGGTCCCGGTAGGGGTTTACCAGACTCAACTACTTTTAATTGAAACCATTTCCGGACCGATTGTCCCGTAATTGCGGACATCGGATCTCGCGGTGTCGCTCCCTTCGGTGCCCTCCCCGGGAGTTTCCGCGCGCGCGCGCGGACGAATGAGCGTCACTGGGATTGGATGGGGCTCGGTTCCGGTGAATGGTCGCGGTGGGTGGCCCGGTGGGCTCTCTGTGCGCCAAGCCAACCCAGCCAACCAACCAGAGGTGGGCCTGCGTGCCTGAGCCGAGTCTCGGATCTTCTCTCCGGAGAGCTGGAGCCGAGAGAGAGAAAGAGAAAACAGCTTCGTCGTGGGGCCTCTGGTCGCCCCTTGCCGATCGGCCACTCGCCCCATCCCTCCTCCCTCCCTCCCTCCCACGGCTCTCCTCCTCAGTGGTCGCTCGCTCAGTACCACGCGCGCCCGTCGCTTCTCGTCGCTCACTCTCTCTCTCCCTCTCTCTGTCTTCCTCTCTCGATGCTCCGGGATGCTGTGTCGGGAATAGTCGGTAAAAGGGGCCACAAGAGAGTTCCTATACCGAGTAGCTGGCCCACCCTCTCCCAGGCACCGCGCCACACGATGCTTCCTTTCTCCATCTCGCGCGGCGGTTCCTCTCTCTACTATCCGTCCAGTGCGCATCAATCTCGAGAGCGCACAGTATCGTCCATTCATTCGTGAGAGCACTCACGCGAACCTTGATAAGTATAAATTGGAG